ACCTGCTCCAATATCCCGAAAATAAACTCTTCACTCCAATCAACCTAAAACCCACACCGAATAGTTATAAACACTCCAAGCGCTCTCCCGATCAATAGCGATTGATCTGATCATCCGCCGACACCCGGATAGCATACGAAACAAGGCTCTCTGAAACAGGACCACAAACCCTTAAACAAAACAGCTACAAGATTGCCATAAGCAATACTAAACAGGGGAATATCAGAGGCAACAAGCCTTTGATTAGCTAACATTACACTACTATGAGCGGCTAGAATGCTAGCGGCCCGTAGGCCCGCTCCTTAGTACATCTAGAATACCCCTTGGGAGATCAGATATTAGACATTAATCACTATAAATAAATAAATAAATTACTTAATTAAATAAAAACATTATACTTTAACTTAACAATCAACTTTAGATTTTAAAAGTAATAAAAAGATTATAGCTTATTATTATTATTTATACTCAGAGAAATCAGATTTATTGAAATGAATACTAGAAAACCTAAAGGTTAAGGTAATTTTGATCCCTAAACAAAAAGCTACAAAAGAACTTGAAAAGCAAAGGTGTTCATTACAACAAAAGAAAATGCGATTTGTATAATATATTTTCTCTCAGCTTGTTTGGAATAAACAAATCTTAAAGGGAGGGATACTATCACGGGTTCACTAGTGTAATATATTAGCATAGTGAATGCTTAGTCATCTTTGCCATTATATGGCAAAGTTACATCGTACCACTTTCAACCTCTTTGTAGAATATCATATATCCAATCTAGTACCTATCCCTTGCACCGTGATAGGTAGAAAGTGATATTCTGCTTCGAATATAATAAAGATTAATGGGTTTTTCCAAGAAAATCTTTCCTTGGTTTTTTCGTGTTTTTCATTTGAATTATTATATATTTATAAATATATAGAATAAAGCATGGTTTTGATAAGGAAATTCACTTAAATTTTAGCCCGACATTTATCAAAAACACGCTCTTATAGTTAAATAATAATAGTTTAAATTCTTCATTACTAGATAGTTTATATTTGAAATTATTCGAAATTATAATTATTAAATAATAAAATTTTAAAAATATAATATTAAAGATTTTGTTATATGAAAAACGCGAAATATGTATCTCGGCTCTTATTTTTTGTAGGTTACTATAGAATACAATTAGATATTTAGAAGCTACGAATACGTGGATGCTACGTCTTCCGTATCCTTCTTAAATCAATAATTAGTTCTTGGAGATGCTGAAGCAAAAGAAGAATAAGTATTGAAGAGTTAGATAAACTAGGTTTCTTATTTTTCCAGACCGGTCATCTAAAATAAGTTATATATTTCTGATACTGCTTTACATCCGAAACTATGTTATCGCTTATTATATAAACCGTTTCTGTATCAATGGAAGACAGAAGGGAGAGTTCGAGTCTCCATAAAATCTAGTTACGAAGTTTGTAGCCATCAGAATGTGCAATTTAGAGTCATCGTAAGCCTTGCTTTCCGTGTGTAAAGATGGATCGCTCACGTGATACTTTGAGACCTGAAAAGCCGCCATGATTTATAAGCGCAAATGGCCATGCACATCTGCCTTGATTTGTGCTGTTCAATATCCGGATGTAAATTGTTACATCGTGAAAATATCGAAGCTTTTCTCCACTTGCACGAAACAAACAGTACTTTATTCAGCAATCATGACTACAACAACCGACGTCTCCCCTCTTTGCGACTCTTTCAATACACAAGCCTCAGCCTATGAGCGACGACTCGGGGGTAGTACTCGTAGAGTCATTGAATACGCTATTTCTCTTCTATCTGACTTACCTGAAAACCCAAAGATACTCGACAGTGCCTGTGGACCAGGTATGGTGACAGAAGCCATTTTAAAGGCATATCCCAATGCCCAAGTTCACGCCGCAGACATTGCACCAGGCATGATAGCTTTGCTTGATAATCTTATCAATAAGAATGGCTGGCAGGATCGAGTTAAGACGGGTGTTATGGACGGTGTGAGTTTAAGCTACGCCAATGAGATCTTTGATGTTTCTATAACAAATTTCGGGATTTTCTTCTACTCTGATCCCATTATTGGTGCAAAAGAGTTGCATCGCACTTTGAAACCCGGTGGAAAGGCGGTTGTTACATGTTGGAAGGAAGTACCATTTTATCCAATTCTTCACGCAGTCCAGGCGATAATCAGACCCGGTACCGAGCCTGTCGCCATGTCCACACTCGATCGCTGGACTCAAAGAGAAACGATGGAATTGACGCTAAAGTCTGGAGAATTCCACGACGTGGAAATCTACGAGAAGGAGGTTATGTGGTGGAATGAAGGTGTTCACGAGGCAGCTAAAGGATTTACAGATAATTTCATGAACATGGTAGGGGATCAGTGGCCAGAGGAAGAAAAGAATCAGCTCCTTGGGGCCACAGAACTTGTTCTGAAAGATAATAAGAACGATTTTATAGTGAGGTCTGGCGATAAGATTGGCTTTCGCATGGTTGCTTGGGTAGCCATTGCAACCAAAACTGTGTTGTAAGATGGTTGAAACACATATTGGTCAGCTACTTATCCTAGTTTCTATATTGACTTCATATGTACATGTGGCAATCAATTATTGGAAGATTCATGCACATCGACGATTTAGTCTATACTCTTGATTCACTGCTATCAATTATCACACAAGTCGGTGCATACATAATTGTATCTCAACTTCCTATTACAATGGACCTCTATGATACTTTGGCAAGGTGATGTCTAAATACTGAGGCAAAATACTTTCTACGATGGTGATGTTTGGAAATAACATGCCATCTATGGAACTGTTCCTATTACTCTCCTGCTTTCCCATAAAATACAACAGCTCTGATCTCAACACTCTCTCGGGGTCTTGCGTTGGCAACATCGCCACAATCAAAGGAAGCATGGGGACAAACTATGAAAAATAGTTGTTAGCACAATTTCACAGGAAAGATTCACAGAACAAGTACCTACATCGAGATACGGAGTCATCCGAATCAAAGATTTTGAAAAGCAACATTTCGTCCGTCTTTTGCCCATCCAAAAATTACCATTTATGCTAGGTATTCTGGAAGACTTGTAACGTCGCTGACACTGTTTCGGGAAATACGCTGTCTGATGGAATAAGATCTCCTTCAAGGTTGATTGAGCGACTGTCGCATAGTGCTAGTGGCCAGTCATTAAATCATCGAAGAGAGGACGCCATGTACTTCAAAGTCTGAATTAGCTTGCAGGCGTGTGATAGATTGTGGTTGAAACCTACTTAATTATCTGTATTCTGCCCTCGAGACGTGCTCGCTCAGCTGGTGTATCACAGATATAAACAGCGCGCTCAATGGCGCTTGTTGGCGAGGAATCTATTCGGCATTTTCGTCAGTCCTTAGAATTGCAATGTGTGCAATTTACATCATGATAAAGATGAGTTTGAGTTACGAACCAACATGAGCTCCTCTCACATGCTGCTCGAGAGCTGAGCGCTCGCCAAGTGATCCTGGGAACTCTTGGTTTCTTTTCCGCAACTTGATCAAGATTAGGACCTTAGTAGAGTGACCGTTGAGGCTTAATCTTGGGACTACTCACTTCCTCGTCGAAAACAACAACTTCTTCTGCCCCAAGCCTTTGTTTCAAAAGTTTCTCGATCTCACTTTTATACTGTTCCATTAGAGTGTTATCCTCTCGAAGATTCTTGAGTGTATATTTGGCGTCCAAGGGATGCTCAAGAACCTCGAACCCGTTCTTGTTCAGCGTAAAACTGTGCTCTTGTCCATGGAGACTCGTTATAGAAATTTCCGAAGGAATATACTTTTGGTTGGTTACAGGCGCCCCATTTAGAATTTTCGGCGGAATATAGCAAAATCAAGGCTTGGTACTCTCATATAAGACATCACGCTTGAGGTAAAATACTGTTCCTGTAGTCTGCTTCATCGTATTTTTATCTGGAGATTCCCAATATGAGATCAAATGGTTTTGAAAGAAGAATTTTACTGTACAAACTTCAAAGTTGCGCTGCTGGCCACGGATGTTCTCTGATTCATGGAGGGTGATAAATGAGGAATCATCATCATACCACGAGGATCGCACACAATGAAGATCGAATTCCCGACAAGAACTGCGGTGAAGTACTGATCAAAAAGAGTAAACTGCGAACTATAGGGTGTGTGGCTCGGGATATCAAGGCTCAAGAGCTCCATGGACACGGGGTACTCCAATGTCGACCCACCCAAAAAATCTGGAACCAGACATTGCAGGGCTCTTGCTGGAACCCTATAGTTTTCATTAAATTTGCGCAACTACAAGGAGGTTTGTCATGAAATTTTCAAGTTAGGTTGATGAGCTGGCAAGAAGTGATCTTAGGTGTCGCTGCTTTCTCCGACTGGTCCCTATCACTCATTTCAATCTGGGTCATCAAAAATCTCCACTTAGACAAGAGAAACAAAATCATTCTATGCATCCTCATCGGGCTGGGAATAATGCCAGTTTGAGTTCTCTCTCTCTCTCTCTCTTGCTTTCACTAGTTTCTGCGCTAACGGGAAACTTTACACAGTACCGGTATATGTGCGATTGTTAGGACTGTCTATCTTATATCATACTTCGACCAAAAGACCCCACCTGTATAAGTCTTGTACACATTTCTCGTCACAATCGGACAATTGACTTTTATTACAGATACCAATATGAATCTATTAATATGGGCTAGGTGTGTATTCTACCTCCACACTTGACCTTCATTGCTAAAATCTCCTCAGGCTCGGACGAAATGTTGCCTACATCGTCGCTTGTGTTCCAGATTGTCGCCCTCTTGGCAAATAATTTGATAACTCACCTTGTAATATACAATTGAGCTCATTACTACTATATATAACTTTCAACTTAATTATAAAGCTCATCCCACTAAATTCCTGATTCCTCAAGACTGCGGATCGAAATAAAAATTTTCTTATTTTCAGATACATTTGAAAATCTACAGGTACTAATATAATATTCAAAGTTTACTACTAACTTTCTCCTTTGTTCTATTCTCTTGAGCTTTCCTTAATAAAGCATATAATGTTTGTAGCCTTGGCATTTCCAGTCCATGACTCCTGGCAATTCGGATTGGATTTCCCAAAATGACTTCAAGCTCCATTGTCTTCCCCTGCTCCCAATCCAATAACATACTTGGCTTACTTCCACTAGTATTCTTCTGTGTACTTTTCAACAGCTGCTCAGAAGTTGCAAATTCTTGTGGTAGCTTAGTCCCCAATATCTTTGGGGCTGTCTCTAAAACTTCGTCCATGACACCTTTCAAATGAATGTAAAGCTCTGGATCGAGCGACATATCATTATTTGTGCTCCCAGATGAAAGCACAGCGGAAGGATTCATACTCGCATTAATGGCGATTTTATGCCACCTCACCATTTGAAGTTTCCAATGTGAGTACTCCTGGGCATCCGAGATGCCACCTGTTTGTAATAATTTCACAAACGTATTGTTTCGTTGAACAGCCATGTGTTGATCATTACTCAACTTCGTCGATTCAACAACACCGGGTAAATATGGGCCAATGCTTATTCGTGTCCATCTGTTATGCTTAATAAGACCTGGGGAAGTCTGTTCGGCGCTCACAACAGTGACAGCACTTAATATGGTGGACCCTGAGAACCTGTTTGAATATGGTTCTTCCACACCGAGACCATTTTGGACCAAGACGATAGATGTGTGACCTTTCTTCACGAGGCCTTCAAGGATCTCGGAATCATCGTTAACATCTGGAAGCGCCTTTGTGCTTACGACAATATAATCCCATTCTTCATTCGAATCTCGAGCTTCTTGTGGGTTGGCAAAGGTTTGATGCGGAATGAATTTGTATTCTCCAAATTTTGGTGATGTGACATTGAACCCATTGGCGGTGACAGCTTTGTAATTTGATCGACATATAACGGAGACTTGAGTGCCTTGAACCTGAGCAATTCGAGATCCGTAGAATGCACCAACAGCACCAGCACCGACAATGAGGACCTTTATAGTCATACTGATATTTTACGATCGGATAATATCGAAACTGTTGTTATATTGAATCGTTGTGGATGTGATCTGACCAAGGGAAGTAACCTCGGCAGATAGACGATCAGTTCACCCCCGCTTACATAATCTATCAATTTCCTGCACGTGTTGTAGCAATCATTACCTTCGTACAAGGTTTACGGGTAGTTGATAAAGATACAATTTTGACAGGAAATAATTTATCTGGGTGCACTCCATCGTTCACCAAAGAAATCGCACAACGCGCACAATCTATTCCTCAATCTCGTCTTCTATTCACAAATTACTATGCGATATCGAAACATTCAGTTATCCCACATCGCGCAAACTGGCTACGTCGTTTTAGATACTCAGCATCTTTAAGCTCGTAGATAGGCTAATGTTTCTAAACAAATCTTAGAACAATCTGTACGAGTGACAGCGAATGGCCAATGACCAGCGAGCGACAATATGGCAGTAGTTGGCGCGCGAAAATCGCATATACGAACAGGATATAGGGAGTGTGAAATGCGGATCTCACACAATGCAAAGACTCTGGGTACCCGAATGAAACACTGAACATTTTGACTTTCATACCATTTCTCGCGCCCTTTAAAAACAACAAGACAGCGGCAGATGCTATCATTCCTTTTTGCCGAAAACAGTCGAACAAATCAAGAGTGTCGACAAAATTACCTGGGAGGATTTGAATGTCTATAAATCGACCTGCGACTTTTCGAGCTCCAAGACCTTCTGGACAGAAGGACGATTCACCAGATTCTCCACAAGCGCTGTGTATTTCGGATACGCTCTCTTCATATCCAAGCCATGTCCTTCTCCCCAACGATGGAACACGAAAAGATACGAACCGACGACTGTGAATGCACCTCCGACTGCGTAAAGGCCATTCAACTTTCCCTCAATCATATCAAAACAATTCTGGACATTTCCCATACTTTTTTTTCTCAATACCCGGCAATGCTGCTTTTTCATCACTCATTCTCTCCGGTCTTAATAGGCCACCGAATGCATGAGCATGCAATGTTCCGCTAAGCCAATTCATCCATTCATACACTCTTATTGTTTCCATTGTTGTTCGCCCTAAAAGATGCAGTTCCGGAGCAAATGAAGATATCGCTGTCGCAATAGCAGGAACCTCTGTAATATTTTCACCCTCAAGTGAGAGTACTGGAACACGCATCTTGGGATTTATGGAAGAGAAGTTTTGAGTAAATTCTACCGTCTCTTTTGTGATTAAGTTGGCAATTGATTCAAAAGAAACTCCAGTTTCGAACAGAAGAACATGAGGGCATAAAGAGCAAGCGCCAGGTGCCCAATAGAATTTAATCTCAGGATGAGCCATGGCTTTAAGTGTTTTTGAATACTTGTAAAGAGTAGGTACCGATCCTGTAGAAAGAAGTTATCGGTGTTACTTTATACAAATACGTGAAATTTTGCTCACATCCTACTCCTTGATGGGTGCGTTTAGTGGCAGTGGCAGGTTCATGTACTCGGGGTCTCGAGATTGGTCCATCAGGTCTTAGGATTGAATCACGTCATTAAATGCAGAGTCAACATTTCTATCACTACGATTTCGATATTGCTTAGAAATCTGGTGGTTTTGTGGCAAGGGTTTGAGGAAGAAATCCCTTACGTCGGCTTAATTTCAATTTGCCCCACTTTTAAGCTTACTGCAGGCTGTATAATAAAAAATGACGAATAACATTGAAGGAGCTCACGCTTCTTTATTAATACAGCGGAAAAATATCCGGAGCGTAGTATGTGTTCTAGATTTTACAAGGCGGGCCGGATTTGATTGCCAGAGACAAATATATCTCTTATCCTAATTTGCCTACTGGTACTTTGGCTTGCCAATCTGAAGGTTTGATGTACAAGTGCACCGGAATGAAGAATTGCACAATAGAGATTCGCTCAGTATTCCAAGGAGAAAATCGACAAGACCTCTGCAAGAGCATAAAATCTCCTTTGATGAGTCGGGGACTTTGTTGCACACCTTGCGTATTCGTAGGTCAATATGTTCGATTTCTTGGTCATGAAAACGAGATAATCTGCGACTTTTTAAAGTCACGAAGTAGTTTGCATGGTAGGATCGTAAGCATGACGCCAGCGCAGAGCAACGAAATTGGCATGTCAAGCTTCAGTCTATTTTTTGCCATTAGTTTGCATGTGAAGCTGCCCGGATGAATACAGTTGTAGCGGCCAGAAACCCCGACGAAGAGATAAGATCAATGGCGTAGCCTTCATCAAGAGAGTAATGAAATTGCTTTTTTGGCTTTGCCTTATCTTTTGCATTGGTGACTACAAGGAGGAAACAGACAGTTCTTTTCCAGTGCCAATCCTTATTAGACTCCAATTCTGATCTATAGAGTCTAGCACACATCGATCATAAATGAGCAATTGTCTCCAAGACCCCATCATCGACAAGTTCGCTGACATCTCGTAAACGGCTCTTCAGATATGATCGATGTTGCTCTAGAATCTCAGAGACTATTGTTGACACAGTCAACGGGCAGCAAAACAAACTAGCCGTGCTAGCCTTAACTGCATCTCTTCGTCCCTTGCGTACCATTTTCATACCTGTCCCTCCAAGTTCAACCCATCCCAGAACAAACGGTAGACTGGCGCAGAAATCCAGAGCTAGTTTCTCCATATTCAGTATAACGATATCTTCTTGGAACTTGGTGTCAGGTTTTGAAGACTCTATTTCGCTGTGAAAGACTTTCAGTATGATGTCATTCACGTGAAGACGGATAGCACGATATTGAGCCCACATTGCGGCATGGCTAATCGAGGGATATAGATGAACCATTTGATCAAAGACATCATTTGCGCCAGGCTCGCCATCATCATCTACCGTCACTCGAAAAGTACTCCAATAATCCACCATCGGTACTTCCTTGGCCCATCTGACCAATTCCGTTTCCAACTCTTGTGCTAGTACCAATAAGCCGCGCATCTTTGTAGTAATCTGCCCACTTCCTCTTGCAGAAATACCGTCGAGACCAATAGAAGCATGGCTCACACAATACCCCAAATCGGCGACTTCAACTAAACACTGATCAAGAACTAAGCTTGAGCCTATCTCCCCGAAGACTCTTCCATTCTTCAGCCAACTTGGTATCGGCATGCTTCTGAGCAGGAGCGAACGAACTAAGTGTCGCCTTGTAATCTTGTCTAATTCCGACCCAGAGTTTTTATGAGAGGTGCTAGAGTTGCTGGAATGGGTTGGAAGAATTGAATAATACGATCGATATGACTCTTGCTAGCGTTGCAGTCGTAAATTTAAAATTGCAATCGCGCCATCATGATAGTTAAAAGCCTTCGCAGCTATAATCTTGATGTCTTTAGCGACAAATTGAGCTTTTTGGGTCACGGAATTCTCAAAATGACTTAAAAGGAGAACGGTAAGAATGACTACATCCATTACGACTCTCTCTGAGTTTCTCAGCGCTAGATTCGTCGCCGCCAGGGCTTGTGAGTATATCTTACTCCCAATTGATAAAGCAGCAAGATTCTTTGTCGATCGCCCGAAAGTCGTGTGGGCAATTGCAAGAATAGCGAGTTGTAATGTGGAACAGGTAGATATGGCATGAGATGCTTGTTCCGGTGATGCAATCGTCCAAGAAGAAAGTCGGCAAATCGTTGACGATGCGAGGCTGAAAATTGAGGAGTGCTGAAAAGAACCGACACAACAATTTATTCGGCTATTATGACTAGTAAACATTCTTCCTGGTGTCTGGACAAACTGTATTGTATAGTAGGCAATAGCTTGATCTTGCAGAGGTGTTGTGGGAGGAGGTCGCGGCGATTAGAAAAGAACAGTGACATGTGGGATGCTTGGAAGTTTGATTAAATTGGCTTCGTCTATCGTCATATTGACATGTCTTGTCTGTTTTTCTGGCACGGGGGATTGAAATGGTGAATTTAGTTGCATTGACCGCCGCAGATTGGGACCTCGAGGTCGTTTTATCTTACCACTCGCTGCCTCGTTTTCGTTCAAGAACTCGTATTTTTCAATGCCACTATAGCCCTGACAATTGATTTTTGCTTTTGCACAACGGTCGCAGGATGGCTTTGTTTCATCGCACTGTGTTATCTTTGTAAGTCTCAAGACCAATGAATGATGATGAGATATTCTTAAGACCTGCCTTTACCCGTCGCTTCTTGCACGTATGACATCCACGGCTCGGAAAAGGCATGGCGACTTGGGCGATTTGATGTGCAATCACGGATGGAGTGAAGCAAATTGTTGCAAGTCAAAGAGATGGTATGATTATCATTTCGCCATTCTTCTGGAACGGAGAGAGTAAGCGCCGGACATAATCTTAAATCCGCGGAGTTGAGAAAAAGTGCCAATGCAAGAGTTTATCTGATTTTCTAATACTCACCGAGAATTAGATATGTTGATTTTCAAATAAACCGTCCTACAACTCTTCAGCTGTCGAGTTTTCTGAGAGATCACAGAATCCTAGATCTACCAGTGATGTAGGATCTGGCTCTTCCTGACATTTTTCATCCGATCGTGAATTAATTTCCGAAAAGAAAGAATGTAGAGGGTCATTATCATACTGTGCGCCACAATGATTTTTGAAAATAACATGAATATGGGAGAGATTGCATTATGAGTACCAATGCCCAAATACTATAGCTAACTACATTAAAGAAAAGCAGACACTAAACGACAAGCCTTAATACCATTCCATTCCTCATCAACAAAATCAAACATGCCAATTCCAGATTCTAGTAGGACGTCCTCCTCGACCACGATTGTAGCTCCGACCATTTCCTCCACCTCTGGGGCCGCTTGGCGGGTTTGTGTTGTCATTTCCAATTCCGTTGCCACGACCAGCACCACCAGTAATTACCCGAGGGATTGATACTTCTGTACGTCTTCCTCCTTCTCCCCATCCTCTTCCGCAGACAGCTCTAGTTGGATTTCGCTCACTTTCGTTCAACTCCGATACAAGGACAGCTCCACCTTGATGGATCTGTTCAACCTCAGTCTGAATGATTGGTTCCGCTGGTACCTGATAATTGGTCGGCAATCTATGTGCTCCTGAGGTACTGTACTCGCTCCGAGGAGTTACAATAATGCCACCGGATTCAGAAGACCTGGATCGCGACGAACCAATATCAAGATTGGGAGTGGCAAGTTTTGTTCCAAGTTGAAAAGATGGAGAGGAGGGTATTGTTTGCCAATTTGTATTGAATGGAGTGTCTCCTTCGCGGTAGGGTCTTCTTGTTCAGAGGTTTATCATATATATATATATAAGTGATATATAATATATACGCAAGTGGTAACTCAGATTTAATATTGTTCTTTCTTGAATATTGATTTCAACTTGATTATTTATTTATAATAATAAAGGACCTATATATATAGGCCTTTCAGGACTATCTAGAACCTTCTGTTTTATTTTTTGTATTTTTAATCAATATCGTCATCGCTACAAGACTAGAATCTTCTATAAGCCTCTGTCGATCCTGATTACCCTTTATTCCTAATAACCTTAAATACAAGGCATTAAGATTCAACAATCCCCTTCCTGTATCTTATAAATATTCCTATCCTTATTAGATCTTTAATAACCCTTTGATACAATTCATATATACTAATACTAGCAATAACTTTGTAAATAAATCTGCTAGCATATCCTTAGTTGGGCAATATTCAATAGTAGTCTTTCCATAGGCTACTAGATCCCTAATATAATGATATCTGATATCAATATGCTTAGTGTGATTGTGAGCTATAGGATCCTTAGCTAGTGCTATACATTCTTGATTATCATTATAGACTGGTACTTCTAAGCTCTTGCCTAGATATTGTTCCCTATGAAGCTTTTTCAATAGCCCTCTCAACCACTGTCCTTGCTTGCTAGCTTTCGATAAAACTATATATTCAGCTTCAGTTGTTGAAGTACTGATACAGTGTTATTTAGTTGAGTTTCAACTTATAGGTTCTTCTAATAGTAAATATAGATATCCTGATATCGATTTTCGATCCATTATATCCCCAGCATAGTCGGCATCACAGTATCCTTGTAGTTTTGTAGCTTTATCTGTTTGGCCGTATTCTAAACTATAATCAATAGTTCCTTTAAGGTATCGCAATACCCTCATTGCAGCATTCCAATGCTTTATTATAGGCCTACTACAATATTGACTGATTTGTCCCGATATATAAGCTATATCAATACGGGTACCTTTAGCTGTTCATAATATACCTCCTACAGTACTCTGATATAGGGCTTGATCTGTTTGAGCTTTATTGGGAAACCCTATAACCAATATATTTCGATCATTTGCTGATAGTTTCTCAGGTTTAGCCTTATCTATCCTGAATTACTCGATTAGATCTTCAATATATTGTTTTTGGTTTATATTCAGGGTCTTCTTTTATCGATCTCTAATAACTTGTAGGCCTAATATCTTGTCTACATCCTCTAAATCTTTTATTTTCTAAATCTTCGATATTCTTTTTATGATTTTTTGAATATCCTTTAAGTTGGGTTCTAATAGAATCATATCATTTATATATAATCCTATTAATATATCTGTTTCCGGATTTCTGAATACACTTGGGTCGCTATAAGTTGAATTAAACCTTAGTTTATTTAATCCTTTGCAAGTCTCAATATACTATTCTCTTCCTGATTGCTTCAAACCATATAATAGTCTTTTCAAAAGCAAAGCTTTGTTTTTTAAGCATTCTATTAATACTTCTGAAGACTTAAGGTATATCATAATATATAGTTCAGCTCTTGGATAGACACTGACTACATCTATTTGGCATATTTCCAGATCCTCATAGGCTCCTATAGCCAATAAAGCTCTCAAGCTTTCTTGTCTGATTATAGGACTGAATATTTCTAGAAAATCATTCCCTGGAATCTGCTTAAATCCTTGGGCTACTAGCCTAGCCTTGAATTTATCAATCAAGCTAATAGGGGTATATTTGACTGTAAATACCCATTTACACCCTATTGCTTTCTTTTCTTTAAGCAATTCCGTATATTCCCAAATTCTAAGAACTTATAACTTATTTAGCTCTTTTTGAATAGCTTTTTTCCAATATACACTATACACAGAATCGTTTATAGCTTCTTTATAGCTTTCAAATATTTTGATTTTCGATATAATTGACAAAGCATAATTTATTGGCTTTTGCTCCCTGAGTGTACATCCTATAAGCCTTTCTTCGCCTAATATATCTTGAGGATCCTAGATTTCCAGCTCTTGTTGAGTATCTTCAAATTCGCTTTCAGACTCTTCTTCTTCTTCAAGAACCTCTACCCTCCTAAATCTAGGGTTTTCAGGAGATCTAGATCCGGCTATCCAATTTCCTATATCTACCACTATTATATCACCAATATCTTCTTCTTCTGATTAGAGTTCTATAGATCCCTTATTATTACTACTAATAGGTAATACAGACTCTATTGGATTGAAAGGCACTGATACTTCTCCCTCATCTTTTGAGTCTTCTAGTTATTTTAGATGCTTATTTTCCAAGAATTTAGGCTCTATTAATACTATGATATTCCTCTTTTCAATATCATATAATCTATATTATCTATTTGTAGATATATAACCTACAAATACCGTTTTCCTAGTATTCGGTTTCAATTTAGAATGCTTTTCCTTTGGAATATGAGTATAAGCTACACAGCCAAATGTTCTCAAATATCCGATATATAGCTTTTTGCCACTATATACTTCTTCAGATATTTTGCCATCAGGGCCAATAGGAATTCTATTCCTTAAATAACAGACTATAGCAGCTGCTTCTGGCCAAAACTTTAATGATAGTTCTGTATCTTGAAGCATAGCTCTAGCTAGCGATATTAGGCTTCTATTTAGCCTTTCCGCTATTTCATTCTGTTCAGATGTATATGGCGTAGTATATTTGAATACTATGCCAATAATAGCTATTTAAGACTCTAATACCTTATATTCAGGGGTATTATTAGTTTTAAGAATCTTGAGCTTTAAACCTGTCTCATTCTTTACTCTAGCCTTAAAAACCTGAAATATACTTCGTAATGATTTCCTATCTTTAATGAAATAAATCTATGATTTGCGAGTATAGTTATTTATAAAAATAAGTATATAAAGCTCTCCGAATAAACCTGATATCTTATAAGAACCCCAAAAGTCATTATAGACTCTCTCTAATAGGCTTTTACAACATTCTAAAGCTTTCCGATTTATTATCCTTATTGATTTCGAGATAATACAAGCTTCACATAACTCTATTAAGCCTTTAATTGGTTTTTTCAAGCCTTTAATAGCTTTATGCAGTATATTAAGGCTTTCTGGGCTCAAGTGGCCTAATCTTCGATGCCACAATACCGCTTCCTTTTGTTTAGGGGCTTCTATCGATTTAAAAGCTTTTAGGCTATTAACCCTATACTAATCAGGTCCTTCAAGGATATAGGCATACCCTATTCGATAGGCAGTATTTATAGTCACTCCTTGATATTGTATCAATAGCTTCTTTTCAGAACTAATTGTAGTTATTATAGTCAGTCCTTTATCTTGAAGCTGCAAAACTGAGATTAACGATCCTGCTAGTCCTGGAATGTGTAAAACTCGAATTAAAGATGTAAACCTAATTTCCCTTTCAACCTTAACCTTTAAAACTACAGTCCCTTTACCAATAGCCTTAATTACAGCTCCTGATACTGTAGTAATATTGATAGGTTTATCTAATAGTTCATAATCACTAAATTCCTCCTTAGCATATATCATATGCCTTGAGCACCCTGAATCCATTATCCATATAGGTTCTTGAGAACACTTTTGGCTTATATTAGCCATCCAACTAATCTCGGCTGATTTCGCTTGTTCCGCTTTTGGTAATAGGCCTCTACCATTACTGGATATCGATAATAATCCAGTAATTGGATTATTCGAATTAGAACTATCCGGATTCTTTTTAGCCTTTCTATAATCAGTCTTTCTATACCCTCCCTTTCTGTAATTGAAGCATTTTCCTTTAAATCCTTTCGAATCTGTTTTTGCACTCAGAGCATTTTCTTTTATACTCTTTCTAGGGCCTATTCGATGTTCGAATTCCATGAATTTAGTTATTATAGTATTAAAGCTTAATGGTTTATTTCTGACCTTTAATTGAAGAATCAAGGGATTAAATCGCGAATCCATATTTTTGACTATTTTATAAAAGATCGATATCTTTAATGTGTTTGATAACTTCTCTGTTGGTGATATTTCACTTATTTCAGTTTACAAGGTATTAAAATAATTAGCTATTTCTACTACCTTAACTAAACTTCCTTCTGGTATTTTATACCCTATGAAAACTTGTATCTTAAAGCTTAATTATTGTTGCCCTAATAGCTGATATATATCTTTCAGCACTTTCCATTGCTTCTTAGTAGTTGAGCAGAGCAATATAAAGTTTAAAGCTTCCCTTTCGCAAAGGCTTATAATAATTGTGCTAGTCTTTGTGTCTATAACTTTCGGATCTTTTGATCCTAAAGTCTTCTTTTCGATATCTATATCTTTTTCTATTATATTCCAAAGGCTCTGGTCTTTAAGAAGTTGTTTTACTTGAATGCTCCATGGTCTATAATTCGTACTGGTGAGCTTACTGATCTTCGGCTTCTCGAAACTGTAATCTTCCTTTATTCTAGCTTGTAGTCTAAATGTATTAAGCTTTATAAGTCGATTTTATAAGCTCCTCTTCAGATTGATCGAATTGAAATATCTGAGTCCTGGCGCTATCCCGGGCTTATAACCTCTTGTTCAGAGGTTTATCATATATATATATATAAGTGATATATAATATATACGCGAGTGGTGACTCAGATTTAATATTGTCCTTTCTTGAATATTGATTTCAACTTGATTATTTATTTACAATGATAGAGGATCTGTATATATAGGCCTTTCAGGACTATCTAGAACCTTCTGTTTTATCTCTTGTATTTCTAATCAATGTCGTTGTCGCTACAAGACTAGAATCTTCTATAAGCCTCTGTCGATCCTGATTACCCCTCATTCCTAGTAACCTTAAATACAAGGCATTAAGGTTCAACAGGTCTGAATCCGGCAGGAACAGAGGAACTGTCGATTATGGTATAGCCAGAGACGGGATCGGTGAAAGATATGTTTCCATCGTCTTGAAGAACGCCAGGAATGGGGTCACTCCATGGAACATAATACCAGGTACGCTGGATTGGGGGACTTGTGTCAATCTAATGAATTCAATCAGTATTTATAGGCATACAGCAAGGGATGGCAGTTGGGCTCGGACTAACCTCATGTTGACACCAAAAGTGACAGATTTTAGCTTTAGAATGCTGAGGAGGCATTTCATATTCATTGGTAGCATACACCTGATACCTATGATCGTGGTAAAAGCGAGTATATACTCGTGGGCCATTCTGATGTGAATCAACGGCTTCTTGTGGATAGTAAAGGACTTGAGCTCCTTGGTCTCCCTTGGGACAGTATTGACAAACGTAGTCATAGCAGATATAGTTCGGAGCCTTGTAATCCGCTGTTGGACAGATGAGAATTGTATGAACTGGTGCCAAAGGTACAGCTCTGCCTTCATGGTTGGTGATGTCCATTGTGTATTCGATGGAAGCTGAAAAGTATGTCTTGTGTGCGGCAGCAGATGATTTGGATCGGGCGGCAAGAAGCTCCTAAGCTTGTCACAGCTATAGATTATTGAAGCTAAAATTGAATGTTAGGGTTGAGATATAATGTGGCTTCAAGATCAACCGTTGCTAGATGAAACAAAGGTTTATGAAGATTGTAAATATTGGAAGAACATATTAGATTGCCCAGAACAAAACTTGAGGAATCCTAACTGGTAATGTGTAAAGTACAGCTGCTCCGAGCAATAAAATTTGGACAGGTAAGGGGTCTTGAAAGATGGTACAGAGCTTTTTGTTTGTTGTGTAAGAAGAACAGAGATTGAGATTTAAGAAAAGCTCAAATTTTACACTGGGCAATATCCGAGAAGTTGGAAATTTTAGATGATTGTGAGATTAGTTCATTTACTAATTAGTGCGAAATCTATGCCGCTCTCTCTACTTTACTTTGGGCCCTTTCTTTGCTTATCGGTTGGTCTTGAAGGTATCATCTTGTGTCTGAAACCTTACTATCTATTCACAAGATATGGGTGAATTAGGGCTTCCATATTTACAAATTTGACCAGGGGCCCCAAATGCCTAGATGTCGTCATCTTTCGTGGTCTGGTAATCACAGTGAGTCTTTTCCATGATTAATCCAGGAGAAGGCCTACGATTGAGACTTCTCTTTCAATACTTGAGCTCCTCTCGCGATTCACATTAGCTTTTGTGACACGCAAATATCACTTCCACTTTTTTCTTTTGACTACTTTATCTTCGAGCACTCTATATTCTACCAAGTTGTCTCTCAGTGGCTGACGACTATGAACTCGAATGCTATAAGGTACTACTTGCTTAACTTTGAAACCACTCGAAAATAGCTGATGCTTTGATTGAAGCCAATTACCGCTACTAGACTTACAATACATAGGAGAATTTGAGTAAAATCGCCTCGATGACTACAGTAATGTCAACAAGAAGAATCTGAGATCTCATATCTTAGATTGTTTAATTTGAATTTGAGATTCAATGACCTCTCTCGAAAGATTCCACAATTCTAGACTTTGTTGAAATATATCGTCATCTCTGATTTGAATCTTTCCATCTGAAGTAAGAAATTTCACTTCCTTAATTGACCGTGTACCCCAAATGAAGTCATTACCTTGTATGAAATCAGCCATTGGCTTCAACCAGTTTCTCAATAAGACCTTCTCGTTGTCATTCAAGAGATCCCCGTTCCCAAAGAACCATATTGACATGTCCGTCCCGTGAGTGGCTCCAACAATTTTAGGCAACCTTTTGTCCACACTTTCTGTTCTCCAATCAATTCTGTATCGATTGATACTCTGAATTGGGACATCAGAAGATATGGCGACGAGGAAGCCACGCATAGTAGAATGTATTTGCATGTCAGCATACAATTTACCAAAAATTTCAATCCAATGTTCCTTCGGGTAGTTTGAAGAAGTGTGGCCCGGTTTATATTTAGCGCAAACGGCCGTGGCGATACTTCGTGGGTAATCCCATGAAAGACGGTTAATCAATCTCTCATACGAATGCGGCGGGAACACGTTTTTATAGAGCTGATATTCTTGTGTAAGATCCCCGATGATGGTTTTGATGCCAAGTTCTTTGAATCGTTTCCCGAACGTACCATCATAGATTCTAGTGAACAGATCCTTCGAAATGAACTCTCCATCGAGAACCGGACGAATGAAAATCTGCTTCAATTTTCCAACGGCAACTATTAATTCATCAGAGCTTTTAGTGCGAAGAACTTCCACGGTCTGCTTTGCGCTCAAAGACTGAGATATTCCCAAAACAGAAAGTAAATCATCAAATTGTTCTTGAGCTTCAGAAATTTGTTTGGGCTCAACTCCACATCCATTTGACCATTGAATGATTCTACGAATGATTTGGCGTTTAGAATTGGGGCCGATGTCGTACGCGAGTTGATGAAATGTGGAATAAGAACCAGCTGATAAACCACCGACTGTGATATTCTCATTATTGCCACCAAAGAACCCGATGTTTTCATATGTCCATTCAAGAGCAGCTCGTTGATCCCAGAGTCCTAAGTTTCCAGCTGAAGTCTCGTCCCAGAGTTCTCTACCGGCTAGAAATCCAAAAACTCCGAGTCTGTAATTGGGACATACAATAATACATTTCACATCTGTCTCGGCCAATAACGAAGAAGGGTCGTCTGAGTTGTTCGAGCCGTATTGAAGGAAACCGCCATCTGAATTTCTTAGTCATAGATCCTCAAATCGTCATGGAGATACACCTACGAATGTAGAAGAACACTGGCCAACCACCTGATGGCGGTTCACCAAGTGGGATGTAGATGTTACACTGTAAACAATCCTCACTCGAGCTGCCTGGTGATACGAGTAGCGGGGATTGCGGGCATGGAATAGACGGCTTGTTGTAAGTTTGCGGATTATTTTCGGAACCATATGAGAAGTTTGAAGGGAGCGGGAACGGCTTTCGCCATCGTCTTTTACCTGTTGGTGGTAAAGCATACGGTACTCTTGAAAAGCGATGGCATTTTGATACGTTCGTAGTTTTGTCCTTGATCACAGTGCCTAATAGAGCTCCTTTACCAGGAAGCAATATACGAAGGGGTGGATACATGATTAGTCAAGAGAAATTGCAATGCGGAGACGCAGTTGCTATGAGGAGTGAAGTTTAGTGATGGCTAGGTAATTGAAGTTGACGAGCACGTGCCGAGGTAGAGTCTACTACATTTGTAGCACGGCTCGAGCACGGATAAACAACGGCTTAGAACAACGCGTGATCGGCATGCTTAACCTACCGTGTCATTTTGAGTCTTGTGAAAAGAACGACAGTTTATGTTCTTAGAATTGAGTAAGAAGTCATAAAAGGCGTGAGCAGTTTCAACAAAAGAGTTCAGTTCATTGTTCGTTCGCCAGGTTATTTGTCTACATTTCAATCTATCGATGTTTCTATGCAGGCGCGGAATGGTTAGCACCAGTTAGGGTCTGATTAGATTAGATCGGATCAGATTAGATCAGATAAGACTTTTTTGTTCTACGAGTACACCTGACTAGACAATCCATACTAGAATGCTCGCACTAATTAACCTTAATCTAACCGAATGTGAAAGGGAAGAAAAATTAAGACTCTTTTTCACATGAAATTGGGTATTTTATCACATCAATCTAACCCAAAGAACTCAACTATCGCCTGGATATATCCGTTGGGAGACGATTCGACGCCCATTCAGCAGATGAGAACTTTGGTTTCGAAGGGTCAAACCATGCGAAAGTGCAGTCCTTCGGGCCCAAAACCCACTTGTGGTGAAGTGCTTGACAAAGCCTCACCTTGAAATTTGTGGTATCCCATCTGATAAGAGTGGGATATGTCGAGCGCTACTATTGGCGCACTCATTATGGGACACAAATGAGCATCTGATTAGATGTGATTGATAAAACGAGATGAGATGGTGTAGGGTGTACGAAATTTGAATATTGCCTAAGAGGAAAGGGCAAGCAAATTCAAGTGAAGACTAAAGTATGAGTCCTGGGATTCAGACATATGTATAGGTACATACGATACCCAATGCTCATGGTTGAAGTCGGCTGTTTCTCATGCCATCACGAGAAGTTCATTGCGGCGATAGGATTGAGTTATCATTTGGTCCAACTAGACTGAATATGGTACTGCAAGGGAGATCTTCGAGAGATTTTACTGGTGAGATTATTTGGACCATCCTGGAGGTTGCGCCTTGAACCAATTTCTTGGTTGTTTGAGTGTAATTCCGACATACAGATAATTTCTCACGCTTGTAATATCTTGCTCCACGATCCAGTTTTCAACTTTATGCTCAGTATCGGGGAGGGTTCTCAATCCGAGAGGGGCAGACGGAACTTTTAATGGTCTAGCCACGCAAAGTCAAATGCCACATAGCAGATTTAGTTATTTCTTCACGTTATCGATCTATCTTTCAACATCCATAGCTCGACAATGTCTTACTTGTCCTCACTCAACATTTCCCATCCAATATTCATCTCAGACTTTCAAGATAGAATTCATGTCGGCTGCAGAGTAGTGACCTACTTGTTTGATATATGAGGCTCAGTGCATTGGGAGTACTTGGTTTTATTATCGTTGAACGAATTTCAAACCAACCGACCATCTCTTCTCCGACTCTACATAAGCTTTAGTCATACGAAACGACTAGTCACACGATTTGATGATCTGATAAGATCAAAATGGGGATAAAGCCGGCCGCTAATTTGGTTGGATCCACTCGCTCCATCAGATTGAGCATGTGGACGGACTTCGATCTCCAAACTTAGCTTGCTTGTCAAACTGCATGCAGCCCGATATTGAGACCTATTTGGGGCAATGACCAGGACATATCATCGACATTTTATCTAGGGTCTAGCATAGTAGGCAAGTCCCCATGTTAACCGGCCTAAAGCTGCACAAGAACGGTGAATTATGCGAAAAATTAATGTTGAGTGTTCCTTGGCGCTCAAATTTTTCCTTTCCACTATTGTGATCTGGAGCATTGTCTATATTGCCACTTCTCAAAGTGTTCAGAATAAATACCCTTTCAATCCCTCTTTTCTATTCTTCGTCATTAGCTACATTTTCCATTATCTTTCAGCTTTGAATTATTGGTTTCTCAACCAACAGGCGATTGCAAAATGAGGTTTCGATTCAATAATCTCACTCCAAATGAGGTACCAATTGCGGAAGATACAGCCCATACCTCATCCGTAGACGAAGAAAAAACGCCTACAACCACAGCCAATGTTCTCTCGGAAAATGACAGCGAGGTCATCAACAAAGAGTTTCAGCATGGCGTGCAAGCTGCCGAAGCCATCAACCAAGTATGGACTAGAAATCATTTGATTCTGGCCTATATTTTGTTAGTGTAGCCCGTGATTATAAAATTGTTTTCGTCGAATCTTTTACTGAGGGTTTTTAATCTAGAATCTGGATTATTGAATTCCTGTTGACATTCGCGTCCGGATTGACCGGCACACTTACACCCTATGTAACCTCCTCTTTCCAGGCCCACTCCCTCACGGCAACAATTTCCATCATCTCGAGTCTCATAGCTGGTCTCATAAAACTACCATATGCGAAACTCATGGATATTTGGGGTCGTCCCCAAGCTTTCTGTGTCATAGGTCGCTTCATTTACTCTTAGTATGGTTATGATGGCCGGATATAATGATGTTAAAACATACTGCGCAGCTCAAGTATTCTACTATGTTGGTTACAATGGAATTGACTTCACGCTTACAATCTTCATCGCCGATACAACCCAACTGAAGAACCGAGCCTGGTGGATTGCATTCTCTTCTTCACCTTGGATTGCTACAGTCTGGGCATATGGACCTGCTGCTGAAAGTGTTTTGAACACGATAGGTTTTAGATGGGGTTTCGGTATATGGGCCATAATTTTCCCAATTATCTGTATACCTTTGTTCGGACTTTTCTACTATCATCAAAATAAGGCCGAAAAGCAAGGCTTGATTCAAAAGGTTGACAGTGGACGAACTTGGACTGAATCATTTATTTATTATTGCAGGGAGTTCGATGTCATTGGTCTATTGCTGATTGCTGCTGGCCTTGCTCTGTTCCTTCTAACATTCAGCTCGTACAGCTATCAGAAGGGCGAGTGGAAATCTCCGTTAGTCATTTGCTTCATTATCTTTGGTGGTCTATTAATCGTTGCTTTTGCTCTATACGAAATGTACCTTGCACCAGTGACCTTCATTCCTTGGGGTTTAATGAGGGATCGAACAGTATTCTTCACCTATACAATGATTGCTAGTCTTTACTGCGGTATGTACCTTTCTTTGTCCCGACCTCGCTTCCTAGAATCAGGATGTTCAACAGCCCCGATCATTGGAGACCTTCACAAGAAGCAATAATTTAGCAAGATTCTGACTTCAACCAGCTTGGTACATCTGGGACTCGTACTTTTATTCCATGCTTATCGTCGTATTCAATCAATCTGTTACGAATGCCACCTACATCTCAAACATCTACACTATTGGGTCTTGCTTTTGGGCACTGGTCGCTGGAATCATTATCAGATTCAATGGACGCCTCAAGTGGCTGGCTCTTTACTTCGGTGTGCCTATCACTATTCTCGCTGTCGGCCTCTTGATTAAATTTCGTCAGCCCGATACCAATATTGGATATATCGTAATGTGTCAAATCTTTATTGCTTTCGGTGGTGGAACCTTGATTATGTGCGAACAGATGACCGTCATGGCTGTCTCCTCTCACCAACACATCCCCGCTATTCTTGCCATGGAAGCCATGATTGCCAGTATTGGTGGGGCCATCGGATCCACTATTGCAGCTGCACTTTGGACTGGCATATTCCCTGTCAAGCTCGCCGAACTTCTTCCTGCATCATCTCAAGCCGACTTCACATCAATTTATGGTAGTTTGGTAGTGCAGTCCAGCTATCCACTGGGAAGTGACACAAGAAATGCTATAAACCGAGCCTATGGGGATACTCAAAGGCTGATGTTAATCTGTGCCACTTGTCTTTACTTCGTCACTCTTATTTCAACCATGTTCTGGAGAAATATCAATGTCAAGGATATGAAGCAAATCCACGGTCGTATTTGGTGAGGAACATAATTGAGGGGGATTGTGAATGGTTCGAAGCAGATGGCGATTCAAAAGAGGTTCTAGTATCTTTTGTGGTCATTCTTGAGAATTAAGTTGGGCTATGACAGCATGTCAGATCTAGAGCAAGACAATCATCAATGATGATGAAAAATTGTAATCTTAATTACTAATACGGCACGAAACTGCGGTGACAATCCAGTTCCTAGTTTGAATCAAGAGTCCATAGTCTAGTGATACATTTTTTCTCGGGATTCTCACTTGGTTGGGATAAGATACCATATCTATAGGCTGTTCTCGATTTGGTATACCTGACTTATTGAATATTTATTCAAAATGGAAATTGAAACATCACGCGAACAGCGGGAAACCTCAAAAGCTCACTCCGTAATGACCAAAGATGTGTCAATATTCCTGTGATTTAAGCAGCTGTTTATCTCCGGTTTTCTTTCTCGACTGTGAAGATTGTGAAGCAACTTCAATGTTCTTGGAGCTTTACTAAATTTCGCCTTCGACCGGTCATGACTACCAACCATTATTCTACCCGTGCTTTACATATCGTACGTTTGTCACAGCATAGAACATCTAAAGAACTGTTAGTTCCATGACCTGAGATATCGGGGAGTAATATGGGACTTACAAAGAACTCGTTCTGATCTGCGGTTTCTTTCGTTCAGTTGATAACCTAATTTCTAGAGTTTCTTTGTGAACCGTTTTGCACTAAGACACAACTGACAGATGATCAAGGCGCAGTATGGGCATTTATATTGTGTCATGCCTCTCTTCTGGCCACAAGTCAAGCAATTGAACTTCTTCTTCATTTGTTCCTTTGGCCAAAAAGAACAATGCTCGCAGCATACTTGCTTCTCAGCATCCGTGACACAACCGTTGGCAGAAAATATGAGTTCCATCTTCAACTTATATTCCATCTCAATCTTCTCTTTCAGACTAGCTGCAGCGTCTTCCGTTGTTTTCCTTACCTCGGCTTTGGCGTCACGTTTGGCCTTTTCGGCAGCGTTTCGCCTCGCTCTTTCGAGTCGGGCAGCAGCTTGGTTAGCTTCCCAGGCAGCCTCTGCTTCTCTCCTCAATTTATCTTCGCGTTCTATACGCTCCATTTCAGCCTCGAACTCAGCATATCGGTCATAGCTGGGTCTTCGTGATGCGCGAGTAAAGAACATGCGGAAAAACTGGTCGAACATCATCTCCTCCATCTCATCATACTCATACTCATAGTTTTCTCGTTGGTGGTACTGCTCTCCGAATCCACTAGATAGGTTGGAAAGAACTGGTTGGTCATACTCTCTGCGTTGACGCTCATCAGAGAGTATTTCGTAAGCAGCTTGCACCTATGCGCACATCGAGTTAGCTACGTTAATTTATGTAGTGAAGTATGAGCGGTAGCGTAGTGATATTTGATGCATTGAACGGCCCTGATAATATTCCTGACTCACCTTTTGAAATTTGGCAGTGGCATTGGTATTGTCAAGATTCTTATCTGGATGGTGGACTCTTGCTAGTCGACGGTACGACGCTGTGATATCTTGTGCGGATGCATCCTTGGGGACCTCAAAAGCCTCGTAAAGATCAAAATCTGGGACCAAAGGCATCGTTACAAAGGATTTAAATGTCTCTTCCTTGTAGGTCGAAGCTGTGGTAAGGTAGCGATGTATTTGGTAGATATAAATTGTAGTAAAGTTGGTTTCCAAGTGAGAACATAGAAACCATGCGAAATAAGGAAAAAAAAAATTGCTATAAGTACAACAAGCGAGCAAAAGTGACAGGTCAAAGATTCGATCTCTAGCAAACCAAAATTTGAATAATAGACCTTGTCGTTTGTCCCGTATATGGATGAATGCATACCATGCGTGAATAAAACAATTTCCTGATCGGCAACTTTCAAATTTTCTTTCTCATTTCGACAGAAGGGCCATATGGATTAGAAAATAGTGAATACTTGATGTGAATGTACAGCTTACCTAGCCAATCTCCCTTCTGCTATCATCTGCTTCTCTGGTTTAAAGGCAATTAAGTAAGAGAATGGAGAGGTCTCTATCCAACCAACGAGGGAGGCAGAGAGGACAACACCATTGCTGTAATTATAATAAGACAAGCATTCGAAATGTTCTCTTCGGTTCAAAATGATGCATATTCAAAAATACAATATTCAAAAATACAATCATGAATGTGTCTTCCGCCCAATACTTTTTCGGGCAGAGAACACACCCAATGTTATTTTCTTCTTTCGAATCAAATTTGTCGAGCAAACATGCGATAATTAATATTGAAAGAACAAAAACCATCACCCCCTCACCTCATGCTTATTCTGATTTAAGGTATCATCAAGTTTCACAACAATAAACTACTACCAGATTTTGACTAGTTCATTCGAGTTTATCTTGATTGAATTGAAAGTATGATCCTAGAAATATGGCCATCGACTCTCAACTAACATATGAATCGCTTCAAACCCCTAATTCCCAACGCCCCGTGCTCCAATCTGCCGTAAATGTAACAATGTAAAGCGGTTAACAATCTTTTTATATGACTTTAAACCCGGTTGTTTATATGCACAAGAGTATTACACAGTTCTCCCTCCCTTCACTTCGCATTATAGACCAGATTTACCCACCATATATCGCGAAGTCCCGTTCCTGAACGCCCTGCCCATGCATCATGTAATAACTTGGATATGCAAGTAAATCTTGTTTGCTACTCCCATTCGCCAATCACTCTCAGTGCAAGAGTTACCAGAAACTACACCAACCAATATAATGTTGACAAAGATTCTCCAACTTCGTTGCCTCAATCAACAACTTGTCAACTTGCTGAATATATGGTAATTCCTCGTCTGGTTTGAAGTCATGTCCCGTCAACTTCTCCTTGACGCGCACCAGTACTTGCACTGCCCTCGTATTCTGGTTTTCATGTGCCTCCATATCCTGAGGGCCTTGAGTGGTGGAATTCGTTCTTGCACGAGGACGTGAAGCTGGTGGGCCACCTGGAGCTGCTATAGGATCTCCTGCGTCCGCAGTTAACGCTGCAGGTTGAACAAATTCATCCATTGTTGAAGGTCTACGATTCTGAGCAGCGATAATAGATTCCCGGCGCTCGGATCGGAAGTTAGGTCCTACAGGTGAAGCTTCACCGTTCAAACGCCAATTAAGGAGGGGATCATGGATGAACTAGTTTGTCAGCAATGTGTCTCTAGAAGAAATGAATCAAACTTACAGCCTCAAGAACTGCCATCAAAGACTCCTTGTTCTCTCTCAATACTCTCATCACGTTTTCGCAGGTAATTCTAAAACTTCCCTCAATATTGCTAACTTCCATAGCATATGTCAACATCCTAGTCAATCTGAACGGAACTCGTTCGGGGTATTTTTCACGAGTCATAGCAACTTCAAAACAGTCTCCAAAATCGATGTGAACGATGTTACCTGTTATTCGATCGAGCATCAAATTCGAAGGGTGACGATCACCAAGACCAAGAATGTATCCGACCATAGACATCACTCCTAATGATCTAGTATAGTTTGTACGCCTCTCGAGCCATGACTCAGAACTCTTGCTCTTTAGCCAAAGAACACGATAAAGATCTTGACCAGTTGTGTTGTCGAGAGCATAACCAAAGACCTCAACCTTTTGCATGAGGGTGAGATTGTCGTAGTCGGGGGCCATTTGTAACATGATACGGTGTTCGATATTGAGCAAGATCTTCCTACTTTCTCTGTACTCCCGAATGAGGACGTGTAGAGTATCACTGTTGGGCACCCAACCAAGAAGACCGGAATTCTGGGACAGTGGAATGGCAGGATATCTCTGTATGTTAAGATGTCGTTTATATGACTCCGAATCGCTGGTGAGTAAGGTATTGCAGAGACCAAACAATTGCATAACACGTTCATCCTGTCGAATATCTTCGTGTCCCTTAAGACAGAATACATAAGCGACACCGTCACTTCCCTTAAGACTAAGCTTCCTTGGGCGTTGCTTGGAAGAAATAACACTGAAGTTGCTATCGAAATTGACGATCGATATGATACGCTTCCCACTTTGATACGTTCCAGGGACAGCCAACTCCAGATCATGAGCATTGAGAAGCTTGGGGGACACGTAAGCTAACTCAAGATTGTTAAGTTGCGGTAACTGGCGTGCGATTCTTCTGAAGACTTGATAGTACAGATCCCAAGCTTGGTTGATATCTCCAAGATCCTTCGTTCTTTGGTAGGTAATGCACCATTCTCGAGCCTCTTGAAGATCACGACCGAATGTTTGAGCGAAGGAGATTTCTCGCAAGGTCTCCGGGCCGTTATCGAGCATATCGTGCAAAGGCGCGAGTGTGTTGAACATGCCCTCGATGTTGTGGTCGCCGAAGTACAGTCTGGATGCCTCTTCGAGACCTTCATGCCATTGCTCATGCCATAATACTGCCACACGAATCAACTCTTTACTAACAAGATCTGCTTGGTCTACCAATTTCGGACTGTGTTGCCGCATACTATCCATGATTTGCATGGCTGATCGTGAACGACGTGTATTAGGGGCGGATTTCATAGCGACTGTCAATGGATAGACTAGCGCTTGCGGGTGAGCTCTGCCAACATCTGCAAGTAGATTGTGAATGGAAGCGCGAACACGAGCATTTGGTTGGTTGATGCGTGCGATAAGTTGAGGAATGACTTCTAACCAAGTATCAACGCTAACAGAAGAAAATCCTTCGGTAACGGCTTGATTGACTTCTACGTGACCACCATGAGCGAACCAAAGAGTAAGAAGACGCAATGTATCTTGCAAAGAGCTTCCTTGCGACAGAGCAATGGACTTGAAGAAACCACGGACAGCAGGAACGACGTGATTAACGACGACATTACCACCATTTACATCATGTAAATCATGCCCGGGGTCTGCCTGAACAGCCTGAACAATTTCAAAATTTGCCAAAGCCCAGGCATGCCATGCCTTGTACCATTGTGGATTAAAGTGAGTGGCTGCTTTATACGAGGCAAGGATATCGTTAAGATTGTCGGTTTGCCAGTTACCTTTCTTCTGGGCAACCTGCCACTCTCCTTGTTTAAGACAACACCTAGCAAGGAGTGTGGTATGATCAGCCAAGCCCTTTGGCGTTAGCAGACTGTGGGCATTTGCTCCGAGACCATTATTGTAACCATTTCCATTCATCATCCCGTTCGTACCATTGTGAAGGTTCATGGCATGCATATCATTTATGATGCCCCCTTGAGTTGCGATCTGTGCTTGTTGTAGTTTCTCTGCCAGACCAGATGTGAATATCTTGAGAGCCTCCAATGCTTGAGATTGCTTGCCGACAGCCCAGTGAAACTTCAATATAGCATACTGAACCGGAGCTTCAATATGTTTATTTGAAACCCTAACTCGTCGATCTCCGTTTGCATTCTCCACAATCTGAGGTAATACCACATCCAGGCTCTCATCGCCGCCCATTAAAGTTTTGAGGTGCTTCTCAGCCAGGCCCATTCTTCCCGACTTCCTACATAAGTTCGCAAATTTGATTGACATTTGCATGTTCTCCATTGGAGTTAGGACCAGAGCTCTCAACTTCAACATTCTCTGCCAAACCTCAACATTTCGTTGACATCCGAGCAAACGAGTCTCCCAGGTTTGACGCATAACTTCCTGCTTGGCTGGGTTATTGTTGCTCTGCTTATATATACTGAGCTCTTCCAACTCTGCAAGCATCTGTACCCGAACAACGACCGTGTAGGCTCTATTATAAGACTCACTAACCAAAGCACTCAATTCGGTGTCTAATCCTTCTCTGGCCTTTTGGACGAAAAGGGCAGCCTCGCGAAATTGATTGCGATGCAAGGCAAGAATTGCTCCAAAAAATGATCGATCTGGTGTATGACTCTTCATGACACTCAAGTAATCATCCATAAGATCCCACTTTCTGAGACCCCAAGCAGCTGCTGTGGCCAAAGGAGCAATGGCTCTCTTGATCTCGAGTGACGAGGTATGCCATTTATCTTCAGCCAAGGCCGAGAGTGATTCCCACTCTCCCAAGGCATGTAGACATCTCATTTTACCCATTATAACATCGAAAGTCTCTGCTTGGTCTGGGAAATCCTCCTCGCGCCTCTTGTAAAACTCGAGAGCCTCTTCCCATCTCTCGAGCTTCTCGAACCAAGTCTCTCGTAATGTGATACCATCCTTGTAGAGTTGCGCTTTTCGTAAAATACCGATTGCGGCATCATACTGCTGCAGCTGATTGTTAATTTGGATCAATGCTTCAACAGCTCCACTTGTTTGATCTTGACAAAACTCCAGTTCCTTGTAGTGAAGAGCCTTGGCCCAAGCATGGCACCTACCAGCCTCTCGTCCCAGAACTCTTATATCAATTGGTAAGGCTTTATCGTCGTGCTCCATGAACTCTGCAAGGTTCAGCAAGATGCCCAAAAGATCAGGAGTGACGTGAGGAGATTTGATCGCCATTTCAATATTCTGTATCAGATCATCCTGATAACCTTCGAATAGCTCTCCCCAACATGAGACAAAAGCAGAATTAAACAGTTCTCTTGCAAGAGGTGGATATACTGATGCCAATTGAGCACATGACCTAAGTGCGTGATTTGGTGACTCCAATAATACGGATGCACTAAATTTGCGCATCCATTCCTGCCAATCTTCCTTGGTGGATTTCCCTGTTGCGTCCCAAGCAGCCTTCAAGTGGACAGGATTGCTGTCCAGTTTTTTATTTGAAACATCCGAGAAGTCGACTTCATCGGATTGATTCAGATAACGTTCTTCAGCACTCAAATCTTGCGGCAAAGGTTCTCCCTTTTGAAGTTTACTAACCAACAGTTCGTAATTTTGATGCTGTATTTGGTGACTATTGAGAACTTTGTTAATTGTGCCGGCAAAGTGTAGATAATCCCTTCCGAGCTGGAAGATTAGAGCACAAAGGGTATCAAGTGATGCCAATCTCAATGAGCTATCACTACCAGCTAAAACTCTCGAGAGGGGATGTATGATTTTCGAGGCGTAATCGTTCAGGTTGACATGTCTTGAGATCTTACCGATAGTTTCAATCGCGGCTTTTCGGATAAATGAAGGCTGCTGAGGTTTCTCAAATACGTTAACGATAACAGGCACGATCAAATGCATGTATTCCTCGGCGCTAGGACCAAACACGAGAAAAGCATGTAGCACACGCTCTGAAGGAAGTCGTCTTGTTGTAGTATCCTTTTCGAGCACGCCCAGCATAAGTGGCAGTAGGCTAGCCAAATAAACCTTGAATTCGCCTTCTAGTGATCTCGAGATAGCCTCAACAAGGTGAAGTATGTTAGCTTGCAATGGCGGAGACTCATTCCAGTATTCTTGAAGTACCACAACAATCTCTGGTAAGTAATTACGGATGTGCTGTCGGACGATGGTTACCAGCAAACTTAATTGACTGAAGTATGACTCAAGACGGGTTTGTGGAGAGGTTCGAATAACAGACAAAAATGCAGGAATAATCTTGTCAAGAAAAGAAACGCACTCTAGTCCCAAGGTCCTGAAAATTGACATGATGGCTTCGATAACCATAGCATGGTGTTGGTTAAGGGATGGGTCTTTCAATATGTTGAGAAGAGCATTTATCACAACAGTTGGGAAGTATTCTTTGTTGGAAGGTGTCAGTCCCGTCATCATAAGAGATATATCAGTCATCTGGTTTGACTCTAGACGTAATTGCATCTCTGGAGATCGCTCTTCAACTTGTTGATGTCGATATGGATCCAAAGCACCAAGAATACCCATTAGTTTGATAGTCTCCTGTCGCAATGGTCCTCGTTGTGGTTCTCCTCGAATGATGTTTTGCAAGATTTCCAAAAGTCGAGGGTATTCCAGATATGGCTTAATGACATATCCTGAGTTGCTTGCCAATTGACCTAAAGTTCGTAAAGAAGCTTCACGCTTGGCAGAAGAGCTTTGATCCTGCAAAGCTTCGATGATTATAGGCATGAGTTGCTTGATGAATGGAATCATGCCCTCTCCTCCAACACAGGCAAGTTCACCGATAGCCTTCATAATTGTGGCGGCCACAGCTGGACTAGGATCGCGAGCTTTGGGCAATAAAACATCCATCATAGGAGTAACATATGGTTTAATCAATTTCTGTGAGTTTTGAACGAGCAAGCTAAGCAGTTTAGCACTTTCTTCTTTGTTTCTCGCTACGTCGGAGAACTCGAGTTCTGTGAGCATTTGAATGAGGACCTTTCTCAAAGAAGGAATGACATATGCAGGATTTACATGCGTCAAGCGGCCAATAATTGTGATAGCGACTTCACGGATTTGGAATACTTCGTCATTCAAAGCAAAGAAAAGAGTTCGAATGTTCTCTGCTTTGGCAAGATGTCGATCGAATCGTTCGTCAAGAGCAGCTAGAACCACTCTTCGAATGCTAGGATCCGGATCTCCAACACCGACGGTAAGTAATTTCTCAATAACTTCGCTAACGACTTGAATAGCATGGTGGCTCGTTTGATTAACAATAGGATCTCGGACATAAAGTTGACAGCACGTCAAAGCAGCTGCCTCTCTAATCTCTGGATTCTCGTCTTCGACATATTTGATAGCAACATCACGCACAAATTCGTTTAGAACATGTCCAGAAAAGTCAAAACTGCCAAGAGTATTAAGGGCTAGCTTGATTTCGCTTTGGCGGTGCTCATATGCTTGTGGGTCTTTTGAGTCTTTTGGCACGACTGGCGCAGCGGCAATGTTGTTTGGTGTAGGGGCTCCAAGCGGTTTGAATGGCTCGCCACAGAGAACCTTGCTCAACATGTCCAGCAGTCTTTCTTGGATGATAGGCTTTACTGGTGGTATATAGAAAGCCATGTCCACCAAAGCTTGAGTCAACTTGGGACTTAGCTCACATGCGAATATGGGGTCTAAAAGTGCCTCCATATACTTGCTGAGGGTTTGCCCAACTGCGACTGCTAATCTGCTGATGCAATCAAAGACTGGGTCCACTGTGCCGAGTCGCCTTCTGAAAGGAATGGTTAGCATGCATGTTTACATGAGATTCCGGCATAACTTACGACTTCAGCGACAAGCCTTCTCTAACATATATCAAAACTCCATCTAGGTAAGAGGCAATAGCACTTTTGACAGCATTGGCGATATTTCCAATGGCCAGAAATGCGTCATTTCTATCTTTGTCCTTCTTGAGCATACCGGATAAGAACACCATAAACCTGTGAAGGTAGGATTGAGCAAACTCGGTAGGGGAATAGTTCGCCAATTCGGGTATCAGCATAACAACGGTTTTACGAATCTGTGCGTCTCGGTGATCTTTATGTCGGAAAACAATTTCGCACACTTCCGGATAATGCTCATGCATAAACATACCACCTTGCTGAAGAAGCTCCTTAATTACAAGAAGGGATCCATGGATATATTCCACAGTCCCTTGTCTCACACCCTGAACAGCTTCATCATATATTTTTGCCTGCCATGTCTGTCGTAGAGTTGGATCTCTCTCCCTAATTATCTGGAAGCATGCACTTATAGCTTCTGCTGCAGTCTGTCGGATGAGAAGTCGCTGATCTCTCAAACCTACCCATATTTGATCGAATATTAGTCCAACAAAAGTGTAAACCAGTGTTGGAGAGTTTCTGCCCAATTCTCGCAAAACCAGAACCGCGCTATATCTTTTTTCTTCGATTCGATCGGATTGCAAGTATTCCAGGGCGGTTTTGATCTCACTCTCCACCAGGTCCGACACCAACGAACCTCCAGGCCTGCACATCTTCCCCAATGCCATTGCCGCCGGTTGCATAGGAGCAAGATCCTTCCCTCTCAATATATTTCGAAGGGATTGTCCAAATCGAGTGACTCGTTGTCCGACTTCTATACCGTCGAAATCGACCAGCGCATCGATAGCATATATACCACCGGTTCGCTCAACATCTCCATGGTGACCGATGAGGCTGGTGATTTTTCCACTGACAATATTGGAAAACTCCGTGTATCGTTCCTGGGGAAAGTCTACCAGAACATTGATTAGTTTCCCGTCCCAAAGACTAGTATGAAATGAGAGCCTCACCTCTGGAAGCCACCTCCAGCAACTCTCTCAACTCCAAGGCTGCTCTCTTTCGTTGTTCATCACTCCTACATCCGAATTATTAGCTACCAACACCGCATAGCAATATACTCAGTTGCGTCAAGCTAACCGTGATCGTAAATCTGCCACAATTCGATTCAAGGCATCAAATGCTTGATTAGATTGTTGTGACATTTTGGCCTCTTTTCAGAGCTTCTCTCTCAATGGGTGAGTTTGCAGTTCAACCAGCAACAGTGTTATGCGCATTCCATCCTCGTCCTCGTCCTCGTCCTTGTGCGGCTATCCAGCTTAGTAATTGTTTTCGTAGTGGTAGTTGTGTTTGAATAGACCTGCAATTCGATTATGGGCAGGCAAAGAGTTTGAAATGCTCACTGTCTTATAAGACACCTGGGTAGTTGTTAATGACGGAGAGCTCGATGTTTTGGTGCCGAACAGACGAGTTCGAGGTGAAAAGTACGCTAAATCACACATTCACTAATACGGTGCGTGGCGATAACGATCTTATCAGTAAAACGGTAAGACCGCCTCAAGCACTTCAAAGACCGCCTCAGTCAAAATGTCAAACCATCCATCTTTCCTACGTCGAAAAAAGAAAAAAGACTTATTATTTCGTCTCACTCATCAAAAAGTCGCTCCATGAAAACAATTCGATCCATATCTTCAAGGATTTGGATTTTATACCAATACAGAGCACTTCTATTTCCTCGTCATGGGTAACGATGGTGGAAGTATTCCTACTCGTCGCGAACTTGTAAAAGAAGCCGCCCGCAATCCAAATACTTCAGAATTAAAAGCTACCCTTCACGAATCACAGACACACGCCTGGACATATTGTCCTCTCTCCAATAAACCTCTCACTACGCCTATCGTATCCGATTGCGCCGGAACGCTCTACAACAAAGATGCCATTCTCGAACAATTACTTCCTAAAGACGATGATGTCCCCGCCTCTGTCATAAGGGAAAAGGAAGAGATTCTGCACGGACGAGTTAAGGGACTTCGCGATATTGTAGAAGTCAAGTTCTCCACGGTCAAGGAAGATAAGGAAGAAAAAAAGATATGTCCTATAACCAGTAAGGAGTTGGGAGCTGGTACCAGAGCTGTCTATTTAGTGCCTTGTGGACATGCGTTCTCAGAAGTTGCGATCAAAGAATTAAAAAGTGATACATGTGTGGAGTGTAATGAGGGATATACTGCGGAGAATGTCATATCTATACTTCCCATATCGAAAGAAGATAGCTCAAGATTAGCATTGCGAGCGAGTAAGCTGAAGGAAGGAGGACTAACTCATTCGCTGAAAAAAGCTCCAGGGGGAAAGAAAAAAAGAAAGCACGCGACAGAAACAGAGTCTGCGGTCCCCTCGGAAACCGGGAAAGAAGACTCTCTTCACAAAAGCCAATCTCGAGCGAAAGAAAATGGAGTGGCCGACAAGACCCAGGCTCGAATGCAAGAGAAAGGAAATGGTCCAGCGACAACAAAGTCAAATAATGGACCATCCACGGTACCTTCAGGTATTAAAAATGCATCAGCGGCAAATCTAACAGCCAAAGTTTTAGAAGAGCAAGAGGAACGAAACAAAAGACGAAAGTTGGGGATGAATGACAATCTTAAGAGTTTGTTCTCGAATACCGGATACAATGCACAGAATCAAAAGGGTGGGGATTTCATGACAAGAGGGTTCTCGATGAACAAGAAATCTTAAGAGAACATGGTACAGGAAAGGCGTGGCGTTAGGTGTTGTTGATTAGGGGCTTGGTTTCTGTGGGATATCGTCCCCGATTTGTAAGATACATCATATACCAATCGACAATTGCATGATATCGTTTTTTTTTCCAGAGCAGAATCATAGTTACGGAAGCTCTTGAGGGTGTGGATGAATCAATAGTCACAAACCTCTTCCTCTTCCCCATATCTATCAGAACCATGAGAGCCTCTCTGTTAGTACAGAATTGCTCTCCGTCTACTAATATACTTTCTATGTTTCGTATCCTCTCAACGCACCAGGTTCTGGCTTCACTCTCAATTCTATACATTCTTTGATACAATCGACTAGAAGTATGTTTTGCATTCAATCAAGCATTCTGGTTCATAGAACTCGACCAACCTGGACCTATCCCGAAATCCCTCTAATTTTTATATATACACTTTCTGCTCACCATATATCCCAGGTGATATTCATCTTCGGCCCCAAGCTTTCATTCCATATAGATTCTATTTCTCCAATTTCTTTGTTGCCCATTCCACTATTGCATACTGAAGTTGAGCTTGGCCGAACGATTGCAAGGGAAATTCCGCTTTGGTTAATCATCTTGCTTTATTAATATGCTTAAGTGGTTTTGAATCCCTACCTTGAATCTGCCGGGGCAATACATTATGGACGGCGATGTTCAAGTATTGCGTGCGATTGACGCTTTTACTTTTGTTAGCAGACCAGCATCTGCACTATGTTAAATAGCCCAACGCTCACGACAATGACGAATGAGGCCTGTGAAAGGACATGTTTTCAGTAATTATATCCCATCATCGTCTCTAAGTAACTCTGATCCAAATTCCATTCCATCTTAAATCGATTAGACTTTCACCTCTCCATTGAGTTTACCCACCATTCTCCCACCTCTTGTACCTGGTTCCAACTCCCCTTTTATGATCTAAATTGCCCTCCAAGCACTCCACTCACTCATAATTCTCTCCTCGTATTCTCCTTCTCCTAACCTTTTCATTGAAGCATTTTCCCGATCTCAACAGATATGCTAAACTCTGCCTCGTAACGCCCGCCCTTTTCCCGGCGCAGTAACAACACGATGGAGTGAGCTCCGTAATATTCCACCTGTCCATTCGACCATCATATTTCCGGTATTTATCAGTGCGCAGCCTGGGACCGGACGGATGTATTGCCAATTCTCATTACAGTTTTCTGCTGAGGAGGGAAGAATTTGTAGACCCCCTGCGATATTGAAGAGCATCATTATGGTTCCAATATCTGTATGGCCACCTAATGTGATCTGATGATCTTTTGTAGATAATTGAGCACGATTAATTAGCATACGTGGAGAAATATCTGATTCCTTGTCTAAAGTATTCAGGGACATTAGGATACCAGATGCGAGACCCAGATGTTCTTCCAGGTGGGTTAAAATGACTTTCAGAACTCCATGGACGTGATAGAAGAAAAATTTACATTCTTCACGGTGAGTTTCGAATGGCAAGGGGTTTGCACATGGTGAACTTGTTCCGAGTATGTCGTCTTGTCCGAGGGAATACATTGCTATGTTATGGGGTTTTTCGTCGTCGGTCTTTGATATACCAGGAGATTCATATCTAAAGGTAGTGGAGTTACGTTAATCGTCCATTTTTTTCCAAGTTTAAAATGTTGAAATCAGCAGTGGGTGCCCAAACGAACGGATCTCCGCAGAAACTGAAATAGGCAATATCTCTTGAAAAATTGTTTCAAGTGCTGCGAAATTTGGCTTTATAGTATAAGATGGATCAACCAAACCTTACGAGGTTTCAGTCTTCCTCAAGAGTCAAGAAGGGATTGATTGATTGATTGATTTAGTTTAACGTCCCGCTCCAGTCCATGACTATATAAGACGGCTAGGCTCTAAAAACTTAGCAATGCTAGTGAATATCTACAATAGATATGATCAATTTTGGGGAAGTAAAAACAAATATTGGGGTACTCTGCCCGATCTCTATTCGGAGTGCAAATAGAGATATAATGTCTTCATCTACTAGGACCTTTCCCTCTTCCTTCTTCCTCTATCCCTAATCTTATTAAAGTATCCCAATATTCAATCCTTTTTTAAACTTGGAATCCAATTTGCTATCCCTTTCTTTTATAAGGGGCAAAAGTTATCCCCTCCCGAGTTACCTCCAATATAACAAAAGGTCCTCTTACTAATGAAATGAAAATAGAAAACACTATTCTTCTTTTAACTCTATCTCTTTTAAACTAACCCTTTATATACCTTCATAAACTTGATATCCTCCAGTCCTTATTAGATATATATAATCGAAACTATTGAAAATAATGGGATAAAGTTGAACTCTAAGCTTTACAACCTATACACAAATCAATTCGAAAAATTCGAAAATTCGAAAATCGAAGGAAAAACGTCGTATCATATCGATGCCCAGAGTATAGAATTAATTAAAAGGCGATGGCATTCTCTGTATCGTAAAGTCGTATTCGAGTGGCTGAAAGCCAAAGCAGAAATGAATTATATTATAACTACTTTCTAGAATATATTATAATACAAAGTAGGTTCGCTATACCTACAGACGCTTTTCCGGCTTACTTGTGATAAAGCCATTAGTATTAGGCTTCTGTAGAATCTTCTGATTATGTTAAACTACTTATTGTATGATTACCTTCGGAAGTTTTGGTTAGGACTAAAACCATTTCTTCACGCCTTCATTCCTGTTTGTTCCTTAAGTCTATCTGATATCTCTATTATGCCCTCTGTCCTATAGTATCCGATTATAGATTGATACACACATCCGTCCTCTTGAGCTATATAGATAGTGTCGCTGTCGCTGTTATTATATACTATACCTTACAGCTAGTAGTTGTTTTGCGTTATCTTACCGGATTTCTTTTATACAACAAGGCCGACTATGTCTCGTAGGCTTGTTATTTCAGATCTTTAGTTAGGTAGTCTTTTTATAATATTTTCAATTCATTAATTAAAGCTTTGTTTATAAAATCCATTTCCCCAATATATAGTTTATAGTCGAAAATAGAGTGCTAGGAGTGTGTTGCATATATATATTGTAGGATTGGCTTCTGTTTGAGATCCTTCGTTGCTGTAATATCGATCGAGTATTGTTGAGTGTGGCTTGCTAAAAGTGTCCTTCCTATACCGAAGCTTCTCTGCCGCTATACTGCTTTTGTGTACTCAGAGATAAGGTGCTAAAAACGTCCCTCCTCCTACTCTATATATACTCCCGTTGGTTCCAGTAAATATTATCCTAGTCTTTGTATATTTCCTATTATTCCTTTTACTATTTATAAATATCCGATTCAGTATACCCGCAGATCGTATGTATTGTTGGATTGTGAAAACTCTGTACGCTAGTGCTCCAGAGGTATTCTATCGATTTTCGTTTGTCAAGTTAAGGATATCGGTCCTACTTTCAATACAGGCTTCAGTCAGACTCAGCTATATTATAGAAGCTTCATTATCTGCTGTTTTAAGGGCTAGTTCTGCTTCGCAGACGTTCTGCCGCGATATGCTCTGGCTCTGCTTCCTATACAGATTCGTAAAGGCATGGTTCCGTATCAATCCCGCTCTCATCTCCTTTCCACTGTTGAATGGTTTTCATTTCTGTTTTATTGGTAGTTCTCTGTTCCGAGTATCTTCGCAATCACCCTCTAGTAATCAGCTACGCGTACCTTCGCTCCCAATACGGCTTCCGATTAGTATACAACCACCACCCGGCTCCAGCTGACTCTACTTAGCTCTCCGATCGCACGATCGAAGGTTCGTAGGATACACCACGTACAGGTGAGAGTCATCGTATCCCTCAAGAAGGGATTAAATTTATCACAAAACATGGGAAGTTGTGAAATATCCCGGGATTCTCACAACCCACAAGTGAACATTTCAATAAGGAGTAAGATGAGATAAAAACTTACCCCAAGATACTTTTTGCGGGTTGATATGCGCATTTCTTCAATACTTCATGATCAAGAGTAAGTGTTGATTTAGTAATGACAAACATCTTCTCTGCATCGGATAGCAAACTTTCACCTTGATCGCCATTTCTCAGTTCCAAGAGGAAGAAACCAAATTCTTTGCATGCCTGAAAACCTTTTCGGACCCTTCATTCACATTTTTTTTTGAGCTGGTTGAATGAAATACTTGGAATGCTGGCAACGTTGAGATCGGCTGGATACTCGGGATACTATTGAAGTACTCAGAAGTACCCATGATAACGTTTCTTTGAAGAACAATAATATCGTGTAAGAGTTTGTTCTCAGGTCAAGAATATTTGACAGATTCATGAATGAGTATTGGAGCGTGAAGTACTCCATTAACATATACGCTTATACTCATCGCAAATCTACATCAGTGTTGCAAAATATAGAATGATGCCCATTTGTCAACTGGCCATATCGATCGTTTCATTCCAGAAAGGGAAGAACTTGATGAGTAAAAGAACAAACCAGGCATCAAATCCGCCGGCTTGCGTCGGCAACCAGTGCGACACTTGTCATCTTACACTATGGAGTTTCTATCGAAAGAGAAAACTGCACGACGGCTGTTGGTATTGGTTTCTCCATGACCTCTATTCGATTTAAGCTTTCCTGCAGTCTTTCCATGAGGCTTAAGTAGAGGTTTGGACAAAATAAGATGGGCCCAGCTAGCATCTTCCATCTTCCATCGTTTTGATAAGATATCATCGGATGAGTGGGGCCAGACATAAACAATGATATGTTTGCTCTGTATTTTACGAAGCAAGCAATCCAACACATATGGATCGAATCTGTCCACGCAATATTGTCTTATGTAATGAGACCGAATAGAAACTCCAGCATGGGAGCAGATCGAGTACGAATTAAAAGAAGCATATTGATGAGACTCTATCACTCCAGGAAATGAGCAGAAATGGTAGGTTTGAAATCTCACCCACTTCAAAGCATCAAACAGGATGCTATTAAGAATTAGAGTTAGATAGATTAAGTCTGCAATCACTTTGAAAAGCTTGTTAGAGCCGTATAGAAATTAAGCTACCCAGGTGTGCCCACAGACCCCTCCTCTGTGATCATGAATCATGAATTGTATGCAAATTGCACGATTCATTGAACAAGCGAAGTAGCAAGAAAGTGTGTGGTACAATAGAATGTAGCGATGCTGTCGTCTATGTCACAGCATGGTGCATAGCGGAGTACATATCGTGATTCAATGAGTTGCACTTATTCAATAAAAATCATCGGGCTGCATACCTTGTCACCTTGCGGATCTCACACGAATAAACTTGGGAAAATGAGAGCGAGTGATAAGACTCAACAATCATTACACTTTCAAGTTTTGTTGCTTGTCTTACTTTTCTCCTTTACTGACACCAGCAAACCTCAAAGTTAGATGGCATGAGTGTAGATTTCGAACTCAGACCGACGGAAAAACTTATGTTATACTGCTATACTAGTTGCCTCAGAGGCCGAAGATCGTTTGGTTACCTGTCGCCAACAAAAGAGCCTTTGGAGTATCAAGTTACAAATAGATTGTAATCTCAGATATATGTTTGAGTGGTTACGAATATTGCAATATACTTGAACATGTCCTAGCATACACGCACACGATATGGAACTCTTTTGATCAACAACAGCAGATTGTATTCAGATGCAGCAAACTGCATACCACCGAAGTTGATAACTTGAGATATAATTACAGCTTACAACCTGTCTTTGAATACTACTATTATACACTAGTTTTAAAATGATTTTCTTTGATCTCTATCCAAACGAAGAGCAATCTTTCAAATATTCTTTCTACACCAACCATGTTAGTGCACCTCACCCTCGTTCGTGCTATCACTCGACTACCGAACTCATATCAAACTCGGGCCCATGAAACGTATGAAAACTGTGCTTTGACTAAGTACACTCACGACGTAGTACCCCGCATGCAAGCGTCCTCAGACTACTGATATATAATCTCTTGTACTGGGGTTTGACAGCATGAAATTGTGCTCACGGGAGTTTGATGTTCGTACGGGCACTCGTACGAGTATGTGGATTTAACCGCGAATCCTGATTGTCGCACTGCACTTCGATATGTATGATGGATATCCCGCTTGAGAAGAAGACTTGAAGTGAAAGCTTCGGAATGGATAGAGGTACGTAAGCTTTTATGGCCAAGAAGATTAGGCTAACAAAGCAGCCGGATAGTGAAATTTTGGATGTGAGGTATTAAGAAGGTATCGTCCATTCAAAATATAGCATGGACTCAAACCACAAGATGATCATTTCTTTAGCAGGTAGGTTGATTTCCGAAAGAAAAGAAAAAGAAAAACAACTTATGGTGGGCAACTTTCCCCGGATTTATTAGATCTGCCTACCTGATCCTCTCCACCTCGGCATCTTCCCGCTCTCGCCATTATCATGCAATGCAACCGGCCTGATATCCTCTGCCACTAGGTATTTGGCAGATAACGGCGCATGCCGATACTTGGGTACTTAGCACTTTATTTAAATCCTAGTTATACATGAACCAAGAATATCCACGTTGTGTTAAATCTAGACTTAGATATCAAACAAGAATTGAGCACTTCCAGATATTCGAAAATTGTGGTTAGAATGGATGGGCCTATATTGTCAACTGAGCATGTGGGGACTTTCCTGAAAGAGAAAAAGCTTTGCTGTAAGCTTATCGATGTGCATTGTCCGTACCCTGCATTACTGGCACAAATATATGGTGTGCACTTTGAAGTAGTTCACAGCACTGCAGGTGTTGGAATTTAAAGCGGCAACTTGCAGCATCTGTGCCTTTGCCAATTCGACAGAAATAGTGGTTTGCTAATTGTTTTCATTGACGCGTGTTATTATTGCGTTTCCCTTTCGGAATCAAATCATTTCGGGACAGAACGCAAATCTCCGAGGGTATGGTGGTGGAAGAGAGGGATGAGTTGTGAAAATCGAATGCGATGTATCATTTTACCCTGAGTAGCAATGGGACTGAGTAGCCTTGCAAGTCTTCTAGAAGGACCAATACACCAAGGGCTCTTACATAGTTGACAAAACGAACCCAAGGATTCGGAGCGCTCAGCTCCCAAGAGATTTCAAACGTCATGTTATTTCCCTCCCCGCCTTCGCCCCGCTCGGGAAAGAATTCATTTCCGTGATTTTCTTGTCTCGGCCGTTCCATTTCTGCTGGCAGGTAATCAAAGGCCTGGGTGATCGCCATGTATTAAGATGATTCGAACCGGGAATGAGAAAAGTAATTACCATTCCTGGCCAGGCAAATAGAGGTGGTAGATCGTTCAGCCTGATAATTTTCCTGGCGATCTTAAGGCTTGATTGGTGAGACGGATCATGTTGAGTTTGGAGGCTGCTTTGACGTGAAAAAGGATTCATGAGCAGCGATGATGTATATAATATGCTTTCAGAATTACACCGAACAGGGAGTTTGGATATTGTGTTGAAACGTTATAGTAAACAAGTTGTCTATACGATATAAGGTGTGTACTTAGAACGGTTTGTATATACTTTTCGATACCTCGAGGTTGATACTTGTTTGGGCAATTCTATCGAAGCTTGGAAGTTGGTCGGAACTCGGGCCTTATGAGTGGACGAATCTTATATCGGCTAGGATCAAGGGGTGAAACCTCGGTCATCCGTCACCCATCACCCACTGAGACTTCAAGCATTTTGCCTCTGATTGATGACTATACACACAGTATGTGAATCAAAGCTGTGAATGAATGGTTCGTGAGCTTTTCGATTGATGTTGAGACAGTAAAGTAAGACATAGGATTTGAAAAGCAAGTACCCCGATGATTTATGATATATGAGACAAGAAATTGATATCCACTTCCCGAGCGCTTTTTGTGATAGTAATGAATCAAATGAATTCATGGGGTCATTCTAGAAAGGGAGGGGAAAGCGCAGTCGACCTTGGAGGAGGCAGACTATGAACGGAAAACTCTGGCGATGAAGGCTGGCTGGATGCGTTCATGAGATGATAATTGAGCTTAAAATCCTCGTAAAGTAGTATTGTAATAACGAATTATCATGGATAGTTCTTGACTTCTTGTTTCATATAAAGGTGTTCTTCATCTATATTTTGTACAACTGTACCCTGTTCTCCGTACATTCTTGTTTTTACGCAGGCGTGATATGAACGTTAGTGTATAGTCGAGTAAATTATCGACCTACTTGCCGAAAGAGGATGATTGGATGAATGTTCGGAACATGCTGAGAGGAGAGAGGACCGAAGAAGGAAAAAAAGAGGAAAAATGCAATTGATAAGCTGTTAACCGTCAAGAATGTCTTAAATTGGTCAAGTGTCAGGTACGCTCAGATACTTTCAGGTACAATTGATATTTGATTCGCTCGCGGGTGAAATCCGTCCCGTGCATTGCATATTACGACTACAGACTACGACTACAGACTACGACTAACTGGGTACCTAGTCTCTGGTCTAGTATAATAGTACTAATACTGTATTGTGGTTGGTGTAGCACGCTTGTCGTGATCCAGCAAGTCAAGCAAGTCAGGCAAGTCAAGCAAGTCAAGCAAGTCAGGCAAGTCAAGCAAGTCAGGCAAGTCAAGCAAGTCAAGCAAGTCAGGCAAGTCAAGCAAGTCAAGCAAGTCAGGCAAGTCAAGCAAGTCAGGCAAGTCAAGCAAGTCAAGCAAGTCAGGCAAGTCAAGCAAGTCAAGCAAGTCAAACCCTAGTTCACGGGTTAAGGTATACTTAACGAACCCTTTTTCGTGAATTTGACACCCCCTTTGTCTTATTCATCGACGCGAGGGTCTACATTTCTGAGTTCACCTCATCTCATCTAATTGAAATAAGTCAAAATCACATTACAATCAAAGCAATTCTCACGTGTATACTCCATACTCTGTATCCTATAATGCTTTCTTCTTACGAATTTGAAACCTCAAATAACCCTTACTGTGACACATTTGACGCTCATCCCCCAAAAGTAAATCGTAATGCAAGAAAGTATAATTATACATCAAACAGTTGCAAGAAAAGTAAATCTCGGCCTAGTTATCAATGTTCTACAAATCCATTCCAAGGTTGATGAAAATCCCGAACCATCTTATGATCATGTTAACAGCAACGGACACATCGTCTTCTATTATACAGTGACTTCCTTGATTCCAGGCAAATGGAAAGTGATCCCAAAGAATCAATCTACGGAGTAAATGGTTAGCCGTGCCGCTAGATCATCAAGTCTCGGTTTCAGGAGTATGCAGAACGTAGTTGCATCGAAGCTTATTTTCGAGGGCCGGTCGCTACGTTCACGATATGCTAAGATAATAGATAGAGTTTGGGGGCACAAACCGTGGAAGGGGTTTGGTTATAATTGACCTATGAGACGGCTCGATCAGCGGTTGAATATGTATGACAAGGGAGTAAGAGATCTCTTTCATCTCTTCACACGCATTTTGAAAGATTCTAATTGATTCGCTTCATTCTACGCCGCCGCTTCACTTATATACGCTTGCACAAGAGTCATCTTGGTAACTGCTGAAGAAAAACCCTAGAGAGATATCACCACTTCCCATTGGAGGCCATACCCGCATACCACCTCACCAGTCGGTTCATCTTCATTTAGCTGCCACAAAACCCTTTCTGTCTTTGCCTCCCCCTTCATCGTATATCTTACCACCCGCCACCATCACCATTGTTTGTCGAATCCACGGAGTCCGAGGACTACATGTACTCACTTGTTGTTCACTTCCGAGTTAAGATTGATTATCCTACCATCGTCTACGGACTTGAGACGGAGTACATCTAGGTAATTCAACCCACTTGCTATCTTATTTTGTCTGGGTAAACCATAGACAATGTGTACTATTGAATGCGTTGTCACCAAATGGCAATAATGTAAACAAACAAAATCATTTTAAAGAAATGCGATTTATCAGGGGTATGGCAGCGGTTCGAGAGACCAGATGAACGGTACATAGTCCCTGGTAGATGGATGTAAAGAAAGAAATTTGACTCGGGTAGGGGGGGGGAGAGAGGAGTGATGTGTTGATGTGGCACTGGCGTAAGAAAAGCAAAGAAGAGGAACGGGGGGGCCACATTTTAACCTTAGTACATATTGGGCAAGGTTCTATTTACAAAACCTTCCTTGGCCTGGTACCTACAGATACCTAATGCATAATTCCCTTTTTATCAATTGATCCAAATCCTCTTAATTAATTATTCATCCATCCATCCCTCCATCCATCCATACATATCAATTCAACAAATTGATTGGATTGCATTTTGGCAAACTCTCAAGGAACCTTGGCTATCTGCAATGAGATAGAGAGAGAGAGAGAGAGAGAGAGAGAGAGAGAGAGGAGAGAGAGAGAGAGAGAGAGAGTAGATACTAGGTAGAGAGAGAGAGAAACTAAACGACGTACTGTCCCTCTTCTCCCCATCGATCAATTAATCAATCGCTCGATCCTCCATTCTCTCATTCCACTCTTTCACCCACACTTACTCCCATTCTATCCCTTACTTCTACACCACATTCATTCTTTTCTTTAGACGTACCGGTATACTCACGCCAACCAAAGGGACAAAAGGGAAGAGGCAAACTTGAGACGGACGGCGGATTCGACAATAATATCACAACATTTCAGACGATACTTCTCCCGCCGCATATTCACTTGCATTCAAGCATTCATTCATTGGCATGCCCCTTTGGCGGAATCACAATCTCAATTTCTTCCATCACAAAATTAGCTGTCCAGGATATCTTACATATCTTGTGGTTATCAATACCCGACTTTGACGTTTAAAACAGCAACTGCCTTACACTTTCCTTTTTCTTGTTCGGCCCCTTGAGAGAACCATCTCGAATTCCATACTATACAATTCGTGCAGGTCACTTATTCGACTGACTGACGGCATATTGACGAAGACATCTATCAAATCAGACTTTCCGTGCAACTCAATTCATGCACCGCGAAACGAAACGAATTTCATTCCTCAGGGATACCGAAACACCCCAATACATTCATTACAATCTGTGAAGCACAACTGCCGATAGCATTCCTTCACTTGCTCTGTTCAAGCTATCACTATTGGTAATTGTCAAGTTGCAAAACGAAACATCTTTGCTATTGGCAATTGCTCACAATTTTCGTCTGATCATACCCGACCCGTTACACTTCTTCCGTGCGTAGTTCACCGAGAACTCCTTTACCTCAAACAACTATCAAACTTTAAGGCTAATGCTTGCATGTCAAAACAGCTTATCTTCCATTTCCCCAACTTTCTTCCTGTCGTTCACACTTTGGTCTTTCGTCTCGAGTCATTTTTTTGCCTTCCGATATCTCGAGTTGAGCGACATCCATTGAAACGAGAATCGGGAAAGTTTCTTCACTAGATCTCACTCGAGCTTGTATTTTAATACTTTTTTTGTTGCCAGAATCGGGTTTATACTTTGAGGATTAGAAAGTTATAAATCACAGTGCGAAACACCGAGCATCATGTTTCGATCCCGTAAGAAGAAGGATGCCAAGGACGCAGCAGAAGGAGTAGGTCGAGGGTCCAGCGATACCGAGCACACATTGGCTGTCAAACCATCAAAAACTTTTAGACTTGGGAAGAAGAAGGAAGAACCGGAACCAAAGTTGGAATTGGACCTTGAGAATGCTTTGCCATCGTCGGACGACTTTCGAACAAGTCTGTTGATGAATGGATTATCGGCTCGCTTTTCCATGTTACGAGAACAAGACGACCCAACTTCAAAAATCGGTAAAGCCAGTGATGACAGTGTGTTATTTCCCAAGCGAGCTTCGAAACTGATTGACTTCGGATTTCAAGGACACGGTCTTTCTGATATCGCAGAGGTTTCCTCAATACATGGATCCGTTCGACCACCATTTTCCTTTTCTAGGGCCGATTCGGTCGCAGATGGCTATGGTACGGATGATGAATCCTTACACACTGGTAGCATTATGAGTCGACCAAAGCCAGGCGAGGGCAATGTACTCTTCGGTGGTCGTCAAAAGATTTATAAAATTCCATCAGGATCGAAGAGTTCCGCCGATGGGGTTGGCCTCGGGGGTCGCGTATTGTATGAAAGCGACGTTAGTCAATCAGCTTTCCAGAAATTGAGGGAAAAGGAAAGAGAACAACAATGGGAGGAGCGAAACGACGATGAGGATAACGCAGATGTATCCACAACAGAGCACTCGAGAGCAGGCTCACCACCACTTGTCGGATACAATCGTAATAGAGAGACATCATCTACCACTTCTTCTGGGCCGGTGAACACAAGGATTTCTACAGCAGCAACATCTGTTACTTCACAGCGTACACCATCTTTGAGTGGATCTCACACACCAGTTTCAGCCGGAGGCTCTGTAACAAATTCTGGAATGGAAAGGTCGGCAACCAAAATGCGCAGACTGTACGAAACTGGGCTGGACCAACATGTGCATGACCAACAGCACTCAACCATGAACAGAATAGACTCCTTGACCAGACAACGTGGTATGGGTGCTCAAACACCTCCGCTGACAATGCATTCACCAACGTCAGCTACCTCCTTTAATGCACCTGATAAGTGGGACCGCAAGCCTGTACTTGCCAAAGGTAGCATGCCTAATTTACGTGCTGCAAGCCCACCACCTAATCATAATCTTCCGTCTCCAATCAGTGGCTTTGATTTCGGCCCAACGATTAAGTCCGCCCATTTGGGAGTGGAGCCAAAATCACAATATGGATTTTCGAACCCTCCTTTGAGTCCTCCAGTCAGCGAAAATGATGAGGCCCCACCACCATCACAAGTCAATGACCGCGTTAAGTCTATGATGATTGGCAGTGCGCACCCTAAGTCTGGTCAACAGCATCATGAGAATAGAAATCTGGCTCACATGAAGAACGGAAGAGAGACACCGCCACCAAGAAATCATTCCCCTCCGGGACCCTTCGTTCCACGACAACAACATGGCTCACGAGTTCGAACCGACTCTAGTGCAACGCAAGAAAGCCATTCTAATCAAAGACATTTCCCCCCTAAAGACCGCGCTCCCGAGCCACAATCACCAAAACAACAACGAATTATAATTCCAGGGAGCGAAACCGTTTCAGCACCATTCATGGGTTCTCCAATTACTCGCTCCGTAGCATCTCCTACTAGATCTGAATTTCCTACCAAGGGAGGACCGATGGGTCGACCATGGGGACTCCCCCAGCCTCGTAGCTTCCCAAATCTGAAATACCGTAATCACAATGATCCACTGATGACACCACGACCCGATGAATCTCAACATCCAGCCTACCAGCCACCTACCGCAGCACCTCGAGGTCCACAACAACCACTACCTGCGCCCCCAAGTAGTCCCCCAAGAACCCTGGAGATTAAAACTACACCACCTGATGATGGCGAAAGACTACCTGAATCTCCAGCAGACTCTCCAACGCTTCCTGGCTTGAGTGGAATGGTCCGTTCACATTTGCGATCTGACAGTGACAGCTCATCCATATATGGGATAACTTCGTCGGGATTCAATGAACATCCATCTTCTGATCCTGTCGAAGAGCCGTCTCGCGACTATAATGAGAGAGGAAATCCATGGGACATTAATGACTGGGATGAAACCCCAGTAAGCCCTTTGGCTAAATTAAACAGCGCTGTTCCGGCACCTCTCGTAGTAAAATCAACGGATTCGAATGCCGATCCTGGATCTCCACCAAAGGCTGCATGGTAGAGGGAGATGGAAACACGTCACAACAGGAATGGAAGTTCAGCCACCCAACAGGAGCGTCAAGAGTTCAAAAATGAACTTGCTCAACGCCGAAGGCAGGTTCAGGAAAATCTGAAAAGCCTAGTGCTTGAGCCTGAGCGCCAGCCTGAGCGTCAGGTTGCTTCGCCTACTCCAGGATCTGCTGTACTGCTGAAAACTAAGGCCAGCCTTGGTGCGTTGGCAATGAAGCAGAAAGAAGCTGCTGGTCAATCCAAAGCCATGAAGATGTTCGGAATAGGCAGCAGCCCAGTCGTACAAAACGGTCCTCCCCAACCACTAAAGCAAAGAATTGACGACAGCTCATGGAAGGAGGAAGAAGAGGAGATGCTTCGAAATGTCGCTACTTCTTCAACACCTCCTCAGATGAAGGCCTTTCGACAAGCTCGGAGAGACGCTCAACGCGATCGTGAGCATCAAATAGCCATGAGACATCAACAGAAAGGCGACGGCAATTTCAATGAAATTAATTGGTCCAATCCAAGACCTAGTGACCCTCGACAAGCGCATCCTTATGAGTCAAGACTAATGCAGGGAATGAATGATGTGTCTGGTAATCTGGCACTACGTCAAAGAGCTCAAAGTAGAGAGAGAAAGCCCCCACCGGTAACCCATTCCCAACGAAATGCAAACAGGGAGAGCAAGGGTAGTATAGGTACGAATCATTCCGGGTCACGACCTCCATCCCGTACTTCTCGTGATCGTTCAGGTTCTGATGCCTCTGGCCGATCTAGAAGTCGCAATGGTAGATACAAGGATGATTTAGCTAAAGCAATGGCCGAGGGAACGGGCACGTCGAGTCAAGGGGTCGTTGAGGATCTTCAAAATGCTCGCCTCATGCTCAAACCTACCGTGTCCGGTTTATCTCTTGGTTCATCTCCAAGTTTGTCACCTGGTGTTTCCGGTCGCCCATCCCCACTTCCATCCCCAGCGATGACCTCGAGACCCAGGACTAACAGCAAACCACAGCCCTCGAGTTACTTTGATCCACAGAGCATGCATGCTCTCCAGACTGGTGATGCATTAGAAATTGGTCTCTCACCTAGACCATCACCTGTCCACCCCCTTTCTCAGTAAATTCTACACCTTCTCTAGCTGATCCATCACCAATTGGGTCAAGATCAGCGACTCCAACAACTTCTCAGGCAAATAGCCGTATAGCTACTCGCAAGAAGTCAGTTACCAAGTCCGAAATCTCGGAACCAACTTTCATATCATCCACTTCTCGTATCTCAACAATCAACCTTCCATCTGGATCGAGCCTTCAAAATAGTACTGCTCCACCTATTCCAGCAGTCAATCCAAGAAGAAGACAGACGAGAGCCATGTTTGATGCGATTATGGGAAAAAAGGACCCTTCAGAATACCTTGAGAAAAATGAGATTCCATTGTCTTCGCAGAGTAACGAAGAAATGAGCACCTTCTCTGATGAAGAGGCAACACCCAGGGATAAACACAAGCAGAGATTAAGAAAAAGTTCTATCGAGAGAGGCAATCTCAATGTTCAGGCGAGGGAAAAGGCTTATAATGCGCCAAGTCCGGCTATGCCAGATCTTTCCCCCGGACTTGGAGGTGTCAGAGGACTGACACCAGTCCAGGATGGAAGTATGTTCTAATTGCGATATCATGGTAACAAGCCATGTTAATTCCTATTTATTCGATCTTAATGTTTTACATGAACTGTTTTCTTTGTACATCTGCCTCGCGGCAACAAAATAGGACAGCGGCATATTGGAGTTTTTGAAACGGCAAAGTAGGAATTCGACTGTGTGTCTCTTTGTTTCATACCAAAATTTGGAAAACAATATCAACGGGGAGGCGGGACGATGAAATTGGAGGGAGGAAATATGTAGCATATTGGGATAACTTAATGGCGCAGCAGGACTGGGTTGTTAGGTATGGGATTGATGGATATTTAGTGAGCTGGCCGGGTATGGTGGGTTGGGTGGTTTGTAGGTGAACCGGTATCGAATGAGGATAGAGCTCATGCAGTACGCATTCGAGCCGTCATCAGAATTCATAGGAAAACAATTGAAAAAACATACACAATTACTTGGGACTCATTATGAAACTGTGATACATACTTGCCCACTATCATGGAGATTAAGATTACTTTTTTGTGTAATCATACGGAAGTGAGAACATCAATTATTGAACACAAACCTATATGTTTCGATGATAACAAACACTCTTTTCGGGATAGTATTGTGCAACTTTGACTTTGACTTGATCAATTGATTGGATCACTAGTCGGACGTGAATATTGGATGGTTCAGGTTTGAGGTTACATAGAAGGTCTGTTCGCTAAGTTGGCAAGCTGGCATCTTTACATTGTACCCCACAAACAGCTTGAACTCAAGCTTATCTCGATTACCTATTTTAAATGTCATAGTTCAATAAATTCAACAATTTCTTTATATATTGTCCTTCATAAAATAAAACTTGCCTACCTACTGAGTCTCGAAATTGTGAGAGAATGGTGGCAGCAAAAGCATTAGTGCTTCTAAGCACGATTTCTACTTCAGTCCTTGCGGCTGAAGCTTCGAGACCAAGAGGTGTTGGTCCTGAATGTAAGTAAACAAATGAAATATGAGAGTCAGGCGCAGCGAAGAAATGGCGATTTGAGCATTGGTCTTCGTTTCTAGCAACTGGAATAAGCAAACCCCCTAATTAAGATGCCGTTTCGCTGGCCATCTGGAGACTACTGTTGGAGGTAGTCTATCTGGAAAGGTTACAATTCCATCCGGAAGCCCAATAGCTAATATCTTATTTCTTGCTACATAGTTGCGAAATTCTACAAATCAACAGACAAATTCACATGTCTTTCAAACCCCTCCATTTCAATCGAAATCTCCAAAGTAAACGATGATTACTGCGATTGTCCAGATGGAAGTGACGAGCCAGGCACGAGTGCCTGTACTTATCTATCCAAACTCTCCCCTCCTCAACCATTACAAGGCACCACTGGTTCAAGTCCACACAACACAAGTTTAGCCTTGCCAGGATATTACTGCAAGAACAAGGGTCATATACCAACTTATGTTCCTTTTACATATGTAAATGATGGAGTCTGCGATTATGAGTTGTGCTGTGATGGGAGTGATGAGTGGGAGAATGTTGGTGGAACAAAATGTGCGGATAAATGTGCAGAGATTGGAAAGGAGTGGAGGAGATTAGATGATATTAGGACGAAGGCACAACTCAAGGCCAACAAGAAGAGGGATGAATTGGTCCATGAAGCGCAGAGGCTGAGAGCAGATGTGCAGATGAGTATTGGCAGGACGGAACTGGAGATTAGTCAATTGGAGAAAAAAGAAGAGGAGCTCAAACAAAAATATGAGGAGGTGGAGAGGAAGGAGAGAGGCAAGGTTGTCAAGACCTCAGAGGGGAAGACCAGCAAGGTCTCAATTTTGGCATTAATGGCTAAAACTCGAGTTGCGGAACTCAGAGATGCTTTGACGGGTGTTCAAGCAAAGAAAGTGGCTTTGCAGAATAAGGTCAACGAGCTTGAAGGAATTTTAGCAAGATTTAAGGAGGAGCGTAACCCTAACTTCAACGACGAAGGTGTCAAGAGAGCGGTCAAAGCTTGGGAGGATTATGCTGCTACGAAGGATGCTAGTGAAGCAGAAGATACTGAAAGTCAAGATGCTGCTGTAGATGAGACGGCTAAGGCTGAGAATGATGGGATTGAATGGGAGACCTGGGAGAACGATGAGGAGGAGAGCGATGTCGATGCTCGTAAGTTATCTTTGACCCTTCCTCCACTCCTTCATTTGAAGTGAGCCCCTAAACACCCACAACTTGCTGCAGTTGAAGGTGGTGGTTATTTCCGCCAGTCGGTCTCCATGGCAATTTTCCCCGACGGGCCAGCGGAGCATTATATTGGAAGAATTCTTATTTATCGTTCATATCATCACTAACACAAAATAGTTTACAAATTCGAAGAATACCTCCCAGAATCCATCCGTACCTGGGTTCACCAAAAGGTCACCGATCTCCGTATCATCCTCATTGAAAATGGTGTTCTGGCTGATAAAGCCAATTCTGGCTCCGAGTCTAAGTCTGTCCAAGATGCGAGAAATGCTTATCAAGCTGTCAGCGATGATGTTGGGGCCAAACAGAACACCCTTTCTAATCTCAAATCCGACCTTGAGAAAGACTATGGTGTAGATGATATTTTCCGCGCTCTCAAAGGCTCCTGTGTATCCAAAGATTCGGGTGAATATGACTACGAACTCTGCTGGATGGAAAAGACGTCACAAAAATCCAAAAAGGGTGGCGGAAATACTGGCATGGGTAACTTTGTCCGATTTGATAAGATAGAAGTTGACGAAGAAGTTGATGCCGAGGGTAAGGGTCTTGGTAAGGGAGTTAGAACCACTTTGGTATATGAGAATGGGCAACATTGTTGGAATGGACCGAACAGGGCCACGACTGTTGTGTTGGCTTGTGCTGAGAAAGATGAAATTTGGAAGGTTGTAGAGATGGAGAAGTGTAATTACCGGATGGATGTTGGAACTCCGGCGGTTTGTGAGAGGGTTTTCAAGGGAGGCCCTAAGAAGGATGTGAAGGATGAATTGTAGTGGGGGTTTAGGTATTGGTGAGGGAATTCCAGGTGGAAAGGGAAGAGAGATGTGAGGGTCGAGCGTAGCCTGAACAGTTGGCAGTATTACGATCGTAGCTTAATATATCCTTGGGTTGTTCGTGAAGCAAGTGGAGTTCTCTGTCTCCAAAAGTTTACTCCCAATCTGACAAACGCGTATTTCAAGAAAGTTCGTGTATCAATGCAATGGGATCTGAAATTTGTGGGAGGCTTTTAACATAAATCTTTGTTTTTGATGGGTGAGTGGAAGCGTGTGCCTCGAATGCTAAGCGTGAAGATCCCATTGAAGAAGGGTCAAACTTGCTGCTCTTCTTCGAATACTTCGTCGAATAAGCTTCATCAAGCTGTAGCTCCAATCTTCGATTTGGAAGTTCAATGTCTCTTCACAGGGAAAGGGTATTATAATAGTTCAGCTAAGAGATAGAGGTCATTTGGTGATCATGTTAATTGAGAGGAGAAGATCGTGGTTGAACGCTTGGTCTATTTATGTTGTGGTCACATGACCATATTTACGCGTCCGCGTTTTACAACGTCATCTCTCTCACCCTCTCCTTATCTTATCCTTTTTGTTCCTGTCATCTTTGCTCAAGAACATTGATAATCAACCTATTTTAAACGACCTCACAAGGAATATCACTATCAATCAGGGTTAATCATGAGTGATACAGCAGAAAAGCAACCTTTGAATGTTGCAGACAGCAACATTAGAACGCCCCCCGCTCCAATCCTTCCCCCTCCAAAGTCAAAAGACAAGGTTCCAGTCAAACCCCCTGCATCTGTAATCATGTCTCTTACTCTTTCTCCTTATCCATAATCTAACGCTATAACTAGAAACCAGCTGCGGATAACAAACGCAAAGCTTCCGAAGTTGAAGAAGCACAAGATCTACCAGAAATCGATAGTGATGATGAGAGACTTCACATCGTTGATCAGAATTGTGATCAAATTCGTCGCAAAATTCGCACCTTTCTCGAGAGCGGTCAGATGAAAGTCACTGAATTTCAGAAAAAGATTGGCACCAATAGCAGAAGTTACGGTGCATTCATGGGCCAAAGTGGTAAATTCAAGGGAGATCAGAGCAATGTTTACTTGAACGCGTTTGTTTTCTTCAAAAAACGAGAGTAAGTCACTCAGATTCTCATATCAGTCTTGTGACTAATAGAAAAACAGACTACAAGGTGTCAAGCCTCCCAAAAAGCCAAAGGTCAGCAAAGCCGAAGAAGTGAAGAAGTTTGATGTTTCCGCCATTAAGCTCGATGGAGAATCCACGGTCTCTGTCCCTATCTATGATAGCTGCGATGAAGTTCGCAAGAAGATACGTGCGTTCCTTCGCGAACCCGGTGTGACACAAGCTGCTTTTCTCCGTGAAATTGCAAAGACCTACCCCGAGGAGAAGAAAATCCAATCCAAAGTCTTGAATGATTTCTTAGGTAAAAAGGGACCGAGTGCTGGAAATACCAGTTCTACATACTATGCTTCTTATGTATTCTTCGAGAAGGTGCGCGTTAGAGATGGAAAGCCAAAGAGTAAGCATAGAGAAGAAATGGAGAAGCAATGGGCAAGTGAAGGAGGTGTAGATACGAAGACCCCAAGTTCTCGAGGCTACTTCTGCTTTGGCGATGAAAGACCTGTCGAGGATAAATACGGCAAGGTCTCATTCCAATAAATCTAAGGACTTGATACCATAGTGGCTTTTGTACTACTTTGGACTTTGGAGGATCATGAATTCTGGCTTGCTTAGTGTCTGTATTTTATTTGGCGTTTGGTTTGATCACTTTAGGGGTTCGTTGGTGCCTGAACTTGTACAGTAGAACTTGGCTATACCGAACTGGGATATACCAGAATCAGGGATATACCGGAATATTTTCCTGATTTAATTACTTTTTATATAGGAATACCAGATTTTTAAGCAAAACCGGAATACTGGATACTTTTTTATAATTCCAATATAAAATTTTGGTAATAGATTTATAGCTGAATAAACTTTTTTTTGAATGAGTAAGTTTGATTAACTAATATCATATGATATTTTTCATATTTGAAACTGAAATTGGATATAAATATTAATTACATCACTTGGATTATTATTTTTTATATCAGAATCTTTTTATATCGGATTTGATTGGTCGAATTTTTCATTCCGGTATAGCCAAGTTCTACTGTACTACCTATTCCTCGTATCTACATTAATCGAAAGAATATTTCAGAGATTGCAGATTGTATAATACTTCGTTAATACTCATCAATTCTACCTCTACTTCCCATTTTAATTTCCACATCATAGCGAGGCTTCGTTTCATAATACTTGCCAGAAACCCATCACAAGCATTGAAAAGATCTAATGTGATTGGCGTAGCTGATCAATATCAATTATGTACAGTACATGGATTGGTGGGCGATTCCGTGTGCGGGGTACCTTGCAGTCATCCTTCGTTGCTCTGGAGTTCACGAGCGACGACAAGCACGGGAATCGGCCCGTCCTGTCCAGCAAGAAGAACATAAATATGTACTATTGCCCTGTGTGGTTTTACGAACTTTGTTTCTGATTATATCTCAATTCTTTCCACTTTCAAAACACGTTAGACAATTGACCGGAGCAAGTCGCCCGTCATGCTCCTGACTAGAAATTCTTCAATTCGTTCCTTGGTGTCTCACATCATCTTGGGATACTTATTTACATCTTACAACATCATTGTCTCTGCATATGATTTCGTGATAATTGGCGGCGGAACCTCTGGTCTCGTGGTGGCCAATCGTCTATCAGAAATTCCCAACATTACCATCGCTGTAATCGAGGCCGGCTTTTCGGTTCTTAACAATACAAACGTCAGCAGTGTGGACGGGTTCACATTAGGTCTTAACACAGCAATTGACTGGCAATATGCGACGACGAGTCAGACGTATGCTGGTAGTAGAATACTGGGATATAATGCTGGAAAGGCATTAGGGGGAACGAGCACCATCAATGGTAAGAATTTCACTAATGAAAGATAGTCCAGAGTCTTCAACTGAGCAATGGTAGGAATGACCTACGTGCGCGCAGCATTGCAACAAATTGATTCATGGCAAGTTGGACTTGGAAATACCGGTTGGAATTGGTCTACACTCTGTCCATACTACAAGAAGAGCGAGAGTTTTACAATTCCAACTGCAGCTCAAACAGCAGCAGGCGCATCGTATATCCCAGCGTTTCATGGACACAATGGACCTCTTAAAGTTGGATATGCGTATGATCTTAACAACGGCACACTTTTCTCTCAAGTAGGGAGTGCGTGGGAATCCCTCGGTGTGAAGAGAAGTCGGGATGTAAATGGCGGAAATGTAACTGGATACATGGTGGGACCATCTACACTGGACCGAGAGAAGAATATCAGAGAAGATGCCGCGAGGGCTTATTACTATCCTGTTCAGGGTAGGCCAAACTTGCATGTATTTTTGAATACTACCGCCAGAAGAATTTCTTGGGCTGGCAATTTGGGAGCAACGTATACGGCGGGTGGTGTAGAAGTTTTAAACTCAAACGGGGAGGTTGAGATTATCAATGCGACAAAGGAGGTTATCGTTTCAGCTGGAAGTTTAAGATCCCCAGCGATTTTGGAGCTTTCCGGTATCGGGAATCCAACGTAGGTTCTTGAAATCATGGCGAGTAGGTGACAGGACTAACAAGTTTAGCATCCTGCAAAAATATGGTATACCGACCAAAATAATTCTTCCTGGCGTAGGAGAAAATCTTCAAGATCAACCTAACAACGCATTTGCCTATGAAAGCAATACCACATACAACGGAACAGTGCCATATGTAACATATGCTCCATTATCTTCCATCCTCCCGAGTGTGCCAGCTGCGAATCTCAGTACTTGGGCATCGTCAATATCTGCAGCAATCAATAGTTCCATTTCACCTGGCGCCATGAATTACCTCTTGACTGTACAAAATGATCTCATCAACCAAAACGTACCTGATATTGAGGTCATCTTTGGCAACACAGTCAACACCGGATCTGGACCCGGTACATATCTCTACACAGCCTTTTGGACCCTCTTACCATTTTCTAGAGGGAATGTGCACATCTCTTCTGCGGACCCTGCCGTATATCCAGCTATTAATCCGAATTTCTTTCTCGTGGACTTTGATCTGAAAGTCCAAGTGGCGATTGCAAAATGGACACGAAAATTTTGGGCAGCCAAAGCATTGGCAAGTGCATTTACGGAAATGTCACCAGGATATTCGGTTGTTCCCAAAAATGCTACGGATTTGCAATGGGAAACTTGGATCAAATCAACATGTAAGCCCTTCCCCATGAGGATTCTAGGCTGCCATCTCGTCTAAGCTTTCAGGATTGCACTTGCTAAACAAATAATACTATAGTCGGCTCAAACAATCATCCTGTTGGCACGTGCTCTATGCAGGGGATAACGTCTGGCGGAGTCGTGGATTCGAATTTGAAGGTCTATCGTACCAGTAATGTGCGAGTAGTCGATGCATCCATTCTGCCTCATCAGCTTAGTGGACATTTGACTAGTACATTGTATGCGGTTGCAGAGAAGGCAAGCGACATCATCAAGAGCATGTATGGATTCGCATAAGATGGATTTGATTTGGAGTAGAGTACATCGTGTATTTACTTCGTAGGTGAAGAAGAAAGGGTGGTATTGGTATTGTACGGATAACTTGATGGATCGAGAATCATTTCATTCGGACAAGGCCGAGGAAGAGAAATTGTTTAGATGGTCAGACTTTATGACTTTACCCCGAGTTACTTTGATTGGTTCGTTCGGGTATTTTTATATGGTATCGATATGTCTGGCATTGATTTACCTTCTACTCGTAGGAATCTGGTCTTTACTTCCAGTCACATAGCAATCCTTCAGCTCAGTTCGAGCTCGAGCTCAAGCTGCAGGAGGTTCTTTATTATACTTGGTGTGCCTGATTGACTGCTTTGACTGGCTCGACTACTCCATAAGGCGTTTAAGCAAATAACCTTAACCTTACCCTAATCATAGGCAGAGGAACATGGTATTGTGGCATTGTACGTAGTAGAGTTCCCCAATATTTGCCTACCCCAAAACTCAATTCATATCACATCTCCGATAGAAACTTACCAAATTTGTCAACGATTTTCCCCGTTTAGACCCCGTTAACCGTACGTGCAGCGTCGTGCATCGCTGTGCATATCCTTGTGGAAATTAAACTTTTGCACTGGCCAGCGGTTAATTTTCTTTTTTTCCCTCTTATATTTCCCGGTCCATAGGGTTCATAATTGATTGGTAACCTAATGGTATAATATCCTTGTTGACTTCAATTGCAATATATTGAAATTGCTCAATTCGAATAATACGAGCTGTATAGTGGTGAAATTCTTGCTTGAACCATCACAGCCAGAATCCCAATTGAAACCTCTCTCGGTTACGAACCATTGATTTGGATTTAATGGTTATTTGGATATGTGTGTGTGTGTGTGTACACCCTGAGGTTGGTCACCCAAACATTGTATCATTGTGTGATGCATGGTAATTACGGTTAATCGTGATGGGTCTGGTGTGTTATCTCGCTCTGTACCACCAAACTGGACGAACAGAGACAGATTGGCTAGATGTTGGATACATTTGGCTGCATGGGATCGGATAACTGCAGGTCCACCGAGACTATCAAGACTATCTAATGCATGCATCTAGCCTTATGTAGTCTATTGTTTGCTTTTTCATCAGGGGTTCTCTAGATCGACACCCCGCCACACTTGTCAATCAATCAAAGCGTTGAAGCAGCCTTATATCGTTCGAAAGTCGAAGAAATTCTACTCTATTGTCGTTGATTCTGCTTCATTAAATCTCATATAGATAAAACATATCCATATCCATATCGACCGATATTATTAGAGACTTATTGTATATATCCCCACTCAACACGATTTTTCGATGTGTCGATGTATGAAATATTACAATATATAGAAAAGTTTAACCTATGAATTTATCCATCCGTTCATCCTAAATATCCATCCGTCATTTGCATCTTACCATCTTATTTTAACTGTGCCTCATAGGTTGTACTCCTGGCGTTGATTTGATGGGATTGAGATAAGTAAGATCAGTACCAAAATCAGGGGTATGAAGGGAAATTACACAAACATGTGCCGCAAGTTTGCATCCCACCTACATATTACTTATGACTAAATGTGATTTGGTCCAAGGGAGTTGGTTAGATTACGGTGTTGATGGTCGATGAATACAAAAGCATCCAAGCTACCCACTCTTTGCCAATCCTTCGTTCGTCAGATATTCTCTCTATTCAAGAATCGAGAATATCCTCCTTTAGGTTTTATTTACCACCCACGCTCTTTAACACAACTCAGGCTTTGCCAACTTACACTCTTTCCAAATTTTCATTAATTAATATTCTCCAATCTTCAATTTCTTCTTCATAATGTTCTCCAAGATCTTCTCCCTCACCACTTTGGTGGCCGCGGCCTCCGCATACACCGTCCTTACCCCAACTCTCAACTCCACCGTTGCAAAGGGTAAACCCACCACTGTGACATGGTCCTCCGTCGATACTGATGCATCCCAATTCTCTATCTACCTCGTCAACTTCAAAGACTGGCCTCCTACCGTCATCTCCCTCGCTCAGAATGTTCCACAATCTGAGAAGAGCGTCGATGTTACCATTCCCTGTGACGTGAGCAGTGATTACGGATGGCAACTAAACTTCATCAACGGAACAAATACCTACGTCATCTACGCCCAGTCCAATGTCTTCTCCCTCACCGGATCATGCGTTGACCCCACTACCTCTTCTTCCGTTTCCGTCGCTACTACCACTGCGTACGCGACCAAGAACTCAACCGTTACCGCCTTCTCTACTGCCACCACAACCGCCATCTCCAAGGTTATTGAGACCATAACATTCACCAGCCCCATGGTCTGGTTCGTCCAACCTACCTCCATCGGTTCCATGTGCGCCCCACCAAAGACCGTAACAGTCTATGCCAATGGACCTGCCCCAACCGATTGCAGCTCTGGCTCTGGCTCAGGTCCCTCGGGATCTTCATCAGGAGGTCATGGTTCGGGCTCTGGTACTGGTTCGGGCTCTGGTACTGGTTCGAGTTCCGGCTCCGGTTCTGATTCGGGCTCTGGTTCCGGTACTGGTTCGAGTTCCGGCTCCGGTACTGGTTCGGGCTCTGGTTCCGGTTCTGGTTCTGCTTCGGGTTCCGGTACTGGTTCGGGCTCTGGTACTGGTTCCGGTTCGAGCTCTGGTACTGGTTCCGGTTCTGGTTCTGCTTCGGGTTCCGGTACTGGTTCGGGCTCTGGTACTGGTTCCGGTTCGGGCTCTGGTACTGGTTCTGGTTCCGGTACTGGTTCGGGCTCTGGTTCCGGTTCTGGTTCTGCTTCGGGTTCCGGTACTGGTACTGGTTCTGGTTCTCCAGGAACATATAGTAACTCCACTACCGGCACCAGCAAACCAAGCTATAGCGTCCTTCCATCGGGTACTGGTTCCGGACCAAAGAGCACAAGTACAGCTACCACACCTGTCTTCACTGGCGCAGCGACATCTGTTCAAGCTGGTTCAATGCTTGCTTTGATTGCTGGTGCCGCAGTTGTTTTGTTGTAGATTTTTTTTTCTTCTGAATTTTTGATCTAGGGTTGGTATGAGATGGGGGTTTGATAGATTGGTTGAGTTATTGTGACAGAGAGGAGAGAACAGATTTATAATAATGGGAGGAGAGAAAATATTGCTGGATAGATCTTGATGTACAAACAGGCATATACGGATACACAAACAGACAGACATTTTGGTAGACGCCATATTGGTAATTGATGATTGAACAGTAATAACGAATAATGTCCTATCATGATACATATTGCAATTCTTCTTCCTCTCTCTATTCCCTTGTGTCTATAAAACGAAACAGGATCCAACAAAGTCTAATAAACCACACACTTGGAAACAAAGCCCGTCTCTGCATTCATGATGTTGAGACTCTATTCATTACATATAACAGTAGCCAAGTTGACTTAGCATGTAGCGCTCCGATCCTAAAGCTCGAGGGTCTCTTATCTTTGAAAGATACTCATCCACTAGATTGGTAGTGCTCGGACAATGGCGTGAGATAATCGCGATAGTGAAGCTATCGATGTCAATGCACAGCTTGGACTTTTTTTCCCCGACGGCGCAAGTGCAAGGATGAGTTCTATATATATTCAGTTCTATCGATTCCGCTGTAAACTATTGATTGTGGATCTAGAACGCGTCTTGTGAGTTTGATGTGAGTTTTCAACTATTACTCTGAAGTTCTTGCTGCTGCCGCGCAAATAGGTGCTTGGATATTTTCCACGACTTATCACGAAAAGAAACGTGGTGCACCGGGAAAATTAGGAAAGCTTTCTATAGCACTTGATATATGTTCAATTAGATATTTAATTCAGAATGACGAGGTATCAATATAGCAGTGCCGCCGGTAGCCTATCCAGTATCCACAGTAAAATCTGATATCCATCCCGTAAAACTCCTAAAGTATTGACAAGTTCCATGTCACCAATAACCATAGCCTAACACCGCATAAACCCAAACTCCATTGATCCATATTATCTTTCAAAATTACGACTTCTAAGTCCTCACACACCTCCCATACACATCAAGCAACCCATCTTCTTGCCTTTGCAATCCCTCCACCACCCACCGCAACCGCCGCTACAAGAGCGTCCAGCGCTGAGCTCTGCGTACTTGCATCTCCCGGTGCGATAAATGGTCCTGCCCAATTAACACCCAAGATGTTATTCTTTGTATCTCTGTCGTTCGCCCATATGCTCTTTGCATTGTTTGCGATGAATGTTAGGTACCTTGAATCGGGTGATGCTTGGTGAAGTTTCTGGAGATTTCTCATGAAGATTCCTTTAAATTGTGCACCATCTGCTCCACAGTCCGGTTCGCATGCATCATGAAGGATTCCGTTTGAGTCTGAAAGTGCTGCGATTGCCGCTGTTGCAATGCTTTTCGCGGTACTAAGATAACTAGAGTCACCCGTTGCCTTCGAAAGTTCAACGAGTCCTCCCAGAACAACGCCTTGGTTATAACTCCAAACGGTTCCTCCGTTGTTCTGGCATGAACTCGTCAATCCATCGTTGATTGTTCCTTGTGCATTAATCATTCCAGTCCCTTGAAACCAAGTCCATTGATTTTTCGCAATGGTCAAATAATTCGAGCTATCGTATCCCGTTGCGCGATTAGCAAGATGAGCAGCCACGCTCAAATACAGTTCATTCGCAATAGCGTTTACATATGTATTTGGCTTGTCCCACCAAATTCCCGCAGCGCCATTTGAGCAGGGTGTGGTGGCGCCATTTTTCATGTCGGCAAAAATATCCGCAGCCATAGTCAGATAGTCGCCGTTTCCTGTAACATCGTACGCTTGAATCCAACCTAATGCCCACCAACCCTCATCGTCGTAATAATCATTCAAGAAACCCGAAGGATTCACAGTCGTTGCTTTGTGTACGGGGAATTCACTTGCCAGAGCAAGACTCTTCATGTCGCTGGTAGAATCTCCATACATTGATAGGTAATTGTAGTCTGTTAATACAACTTTCATCATTTGTAGGTTGGATTTTTGAGCCTGAATAAAGGTGTTTGACATAACACTGGTGACGGCCGATTTGACATTTGAATCGACGGCAGCGAGATCACCAATAACAGTTAAGCAATTGGCCGAATTCCACCATCCTGTTGTAGTCCAGAGTCCAGAAGTGGCGTCGTACCATGTTTGCAACTGCTTGAAAGCAGCTTCTGCATTGGCAGTAGATTGCTGCGAGGTGGCAGATTGTGAGGTGGCTATATCAGCTAAGCCAAGTACACAACACAAAGAAACAAGCGAGCGATGCATTATGAGTCTTGTTAAAGTGGGAAGGAAGAGCCGGAGTGGATAGGTCCAATTTACTTCTGGGAAACGGGCTTCCCCAATGCTTTTATTCAGTTTCGTGAAGAGGCTAGGTGTTCTAGCACACAAGAGGTTCAAGAATCAATGAAACAAGGTCAGCGCGCGTTGAAATTGTGGATCCAACAGCTGTCAATATTTGCAAGACTGTAAATGGCTGGTAATATGTGCTATGTATGCGTAGTCCATTCTTTTCAATCTTTAAGGTCTCAACTTAATAAGGTAGTTTGAACACTTTGGGATGAGGAGTTGCGGGTTTCCACAGGAAAGAGCGCCAATCGGCGGCACAATGAGGATCACTTGATACATAGGCATTCAAAAGAAAGTTTAAGGAATAGTTTGTATTGGACGACGGAAATCTCTTTTATCTGCCGAGGCAGGAGATGTCTTTGAACTGACAAATAGACTATGTCATATTGTGGTCACGTAGGAATGGCCTGGACAATTCACCTCCACCATTTGACACTTTTGATTTTTGTAGTTCGTGTGACGCATGTTGCGATTAGTACCTAGGTAGTTACTTTGCTTTTTAAATTGTGGAGAAAATATTGATGTTGTACCTTAGTCTTAGTGCTAGTCTGCTGATTCAAACCATTGAGTTTTGTGATGTATGCAACTGAGCCACTTGACTCGGCCGTGCCATTATTAAACCTCCGAGGCCCTCGATTGAAACATTAACTTCGGCACTTGAAACCGTAAATCGAGTCGTAATTGAGATTTAGATCAAACAGCAAATGAAAGACTTTACATTCTTTCAAATGTTTGTTCTTTCCGAGCTTGACCCAAGCCGATTCGCGAGATATTGTTAAATATTGACTCGTGCCAAGAGCATCTGACAGTAAGACAATAGAATGTGAATGGAAATGGAAGTCACATTAGAGGATCAAATTCACACAATCAGATTTATCTGCTAACAGCTCGGTCGAATGAACAACGAAAGGCTACTTCCGATCGACCGATTTGAATATCCTACGTAAAATGTTACCTTGATTAGCATCATTCTTGTTCGACTCTTCTATTCGCAAACCCAATCAGAGGGCACCACGAGAGAGAGGTTGGTCAACTCTGCGCTCCGTCTCAATAGCGCGAGCCTACTGAACTTTCTGCGTTTTGACCCTTCTCTCATGTTGCTGTGCGGCGAAAACAAAAACAGTATTATTCTGAGAGGTTGGGACTGCAGACAGTTTTTTAAACCGAGCGAAATTATAAGGTTAGGGGTGAGTAAAGCTTAGATCGTTTGATGCTCTGTGCATATCAACACTTTGCAATGATGATACCCCTATACGTAGGAGAAAAAACAGGCCGGAATTGACCACTGCGTAATGGTACGTGCACCCTCAGCAAAACAACGCGTAGAGAGAGGTATTACAATTCCGGCCTGTTTTTTCTCCTACGTATAGACCCCCTCCCCCTCTCCCATAGGTGAGATTGACGTTACGTAGCTTTCCCCGTAGATTGTAGAAGATGGCGCATGAATTGTTAGCTACAATGGTAGCTGGGAGACCATAGTTGAGTGCGTGTTCTAATGGAGTTGTATTTCTGCTGTTTTTGTCAGGCAGATTATCCCGTCGTTACGTTGGCGGTGTTGGTGGTGTTGGTGGTGTTGGTGGTGTTTGCTAGACGATATTGGATGTGATTCCTGGCTGCACGAGTAGGAAGGAATTAACCTTACCCATATGTGATAACCTGCAGAGCCCAAGATTTGAGAGTCTAATTCAATATAACATCCGGCGCTTCGTCCCAAGGTCAGGTAGTTTGTTCAGACTTCAAAAAAAGAGCTTCCTCTCCTCTTTTCGCCCTCCAAGCATTTGTTGAAGCCAATAACTCTTTACAACCCTTGAGAGCCCATCCCCAATTCTTCAAGAAAGTCTCACTAACCTCCCATCCCCAAATATCCCACGGTTCTCCCCAAACAATGAGGCCGGATTGTTCGTTCATGAGACCTCCAAATTCCACTAGATCATTACACAATCGATCTTCATCGTAAATTCCAGCATGCAACAATAGGTTATCGCGCATTTGAGGAATTGGCCAAAGATCTAGCCATGGATGATGAGGGATTGTGCGCTGAATCTCTGTTGGACACAATGCTTGAGGACAATGCGCTCCCGGTACAAACTTTGTGGAAAGATTAAGCCACGGGGATAGAGGATCGATAGTACAGTCCAGCCAATCCAAGTTCCAACCTATTGTTCGCGTGTTTTTGATCAATGCGCGAAAAACGTTGAATTGAATGAGGGTGAGAAGTTGATCTGTTCGTGGAGAGCCCATCGAATAATTCCTACGAGCTTCTTCCTCGAATGTGGCCAGCATCAGTCGAATCTCACAGAACCCTTGGTATCTCGACACGCGACCTGTTGTCCATCGCTTTATACTTATATCTGCCGGTGATGAGGTAGAAGAATTGCTTGGTTGCTCGAGTTGGCTGGGTTGTTTCTCGATACGGAGGTTCGTTATCGATAACGGGTTCGCAGAATGTGTGCTTTTGGATTCACCAAGGATTGATCGCTCTCGGAGCTGTGAAGCTTCAATTGAAGAATCGTTTTCGCGGTCTTCATGGGGTTTCGATGGAGCTTTACGTCTTTGACCTGACGGTACGTACGAAACAGTTAGTTAGCGACATTTCACTTGAGCAAATACCAAGTCTCAACACCAATAGTCCACAGCAAAAACTCTCACGGTATATCCTCTGGTTCAAGCGATTCTGGAATTTTCTTCTAATTGCTGAATCGCTTGCTCCGGTCCAATCATCGTCCATACATCTGGTCCCAGTCTGTTGAGACATACGTGTGAGCTCGACTTTGGGTGGCATGTTGAGAACCAGTTCTTGATGACCATCTATGTTTCGTCCGAAAATCGAGGATGAATCTTTCGGGAATTAGAGATTGTAGTTTGATAATGCAAACGATATCGGGCATATTGAGAATAAAATCAAAACTCGTACGAGCAGGCGATATTCGAAGAAGCTGGAGGGGTAAGATTCTTGGTGATAAATTAGAAAGATCCAACCAAGAGCCCAGGATAATGCTAAGTTCAAAGAAGGACCTTCCCCACGGGCCACGGCGGGGGCTACTCCGACTTAGTTCTATGCAACCTGCTTATCATGCGTCAGTGGCAGTTATAGGCTATTGGCCAATGAATGGTGCTTGAGTGGGGGCATTGTTGGATGAATATCAATGTTCCAGGGTGTCACAACCTGTAGCTCGAAGTGGTCAAAGATATCAACATCAACATCTGTAATTCGGCAACAAGTGTACGTCTACCTATGAAGTCAAAGCTTATGGGTTGAATGTATTCTTTTACTAAGGTGTATGCTATATGATTCTCATGGAATTAGAGAGGTCGAACTCCGTCTATATCTCCGAGCGTGTGATGCAAATATAGCAGATAGATGCCACATCTAGAGACTTTGTCTAGGTATAAAGTTCTCTTCCATCCCTCCCTGAAGTATATACCAGTACCATGAGATACAGTTCCTCTTCATAACTCAACCCAACAATAGTTCGATTCTAATTTCGATTTCACATCCAATCATCAAAATGGCACCACCATTCCCACCAGCACCAGCACCTGAGTCTATGCTCTTCCGCCATCGCCAACTAGCTCCAACAGCCAATGTGCGAGTTTCTCCAATCTGCCTTGGAGCTATGAACTTCGGCGACGCAGATAAGGCTCGTTTGGGAGAGTGCAACAAGGAAACTTCTTTTGAAATACTCGATACTTTCAAAGGTCTGGGTGGTAATTTCATCGATACTGCCAACGGATATCAAGCAGGGCAATCTGAAACCTGGCTTGGAGAGTGGATGAAGTCAAGGGACTGCAGAGATGAAATGGTTCTTGCCACCAAATATTCCTCCCCTTATCAGAAGCATCATCCCGGGAAAATTCAATCAAACTTTGGAGGCAACGGAACTAAGTCTCTCAGACATTCCGTTGAAACATCACTCAAGAGACTTCAAACTGAATACATAGACCTTCTCTATGTACATTGGTGGGATTATGCAACCACCATTCCAGAATTAATGACTTCGCTCAATGATCTCGTTTCTTCCGGCAAAGTCAATTATCTGGGCGTGTCCGACACTCCTGCTTGGGTCGTAGCGAAAGCAAACCAATATGCTAGAGACCATGGTCTTCGTCAATTTGTCGTATACCAAGGGCTATGGAATGCGGCCAAACGCGATTTCGAACGAGATATCGTTCCTATGTGCAAAGACGAAGGTATGGGCTTGATTCCATGGGGTACTCTTGCCCAGGGTCGATTCCAAACAGAAGCCACCTTCAAGGAGCGTGAGAAAAACAATCCTGGCCGTCAAGGCAAGCCTTCAGTTCTTGAAAAGCGAATGTCTAAAGTATTGGAAAGCATTGCGGCCTCCAAGAACACCAATATTACAAGCATCGCCATGATATACATCATGCAAAAGGCTCCATATGTCTTTCCGCTTGTTGGGGGTCGTAAGGTTGAGCATCTCAAGGGCAATATCGAAGCCCTCGAGCTTGTTTTGACTGATGAGGACATGGCCAAGATTGATAGAGCGAGTCATTTTGATCCAGGATTCCCGCATACCTTTTTGAGCGGATCACAGTTTGGCGAAGATCAGGATACCGAGCACGAGATCCCGGATGGCGCTAAAGATGTCTGGTTAACGCAAGTTCTGGGGACATTCGATTGGGTTGAGAGTTCCAAACCTATCACACCTTCTGAGCAGAGATAGACTTATTATCTTTTGTCCAGTTCCAATATCTCCATAACAAGTGTCAATGGAATCAGTTACTTAGATAGGAGTTCAGAGTCACGAGCTCATACTACGCTTGGAGCGAGCGTATTCCAGTGACCTCTAGAGTCTAAAAGTATCCAAAGTAACACCTAGTTCTATATTTAACGGGAATTCATGAGTGAATTGATGAATGGCTGACTAGTGTTCGAAATGTATGACAAAGCTGGCTATTGTCATGTCAAGCTCAATAATCCATTGTCATCAAATTTCAGAAATCGAATGTATATTGTAACTAAATCTTCCTTCCTTCTAGAATGCTGAACAGGGGAAAACCTTCTCGCTAGGTGCATATTGATCCTAAGGCGACAGGATAAAGAACTCGCTTTGGCAGGAAAGCAAAACAAGGAAAAGGTCAAATTGATCCGATCTCTGAGATCTCGGCCCGTTTGTTGAGGATAAAACCCACAAAGTCTGTAAAAGAACAACCAAGTCTAACCAGCGAACGCAGGAAAACAAACGAAATCTCCTTTATATTTCCCTCTGTATACATCCTAAGTTGTACACAACATTTTATGCAAAGCCCCGAGCGGATTGCCATGTCCATGATGTTAGGGTGGAAGCTTGTGGTATACTGAAAGATAGGTACTGGGAATGCCTGCAATACCTACCCTGTAAAACCATGGTTTGAGTCGCGACCCAAACATTATCCCAATCAAACAATGTGGAAATCGTGGCGGGACAACATTGTAATATTACATGGAAACTTCTCTATTCTCAAACGTACAACAGCCCCATGAAAAGCTGATTGTGTCGTAAACTGACGATGCGCTTAGAGTGCCGTGCGTAGATGAGGCTGCAAACGACCGGATGAATGAGCCGATAACTGGTATGCAGTCATTGGACAGCTCATCAAATAGCAAGTAGTCAATCATCGAAATACATCCGTGGCCGATCTCCTGAATTGACGTCGTATAATTGGTTTGCAAGCTTGCGGCGCTTGAATCCCTTGAAGAACTCCAATTCATTTCCATCGACCCAAGATGGGTATGATAATCAACTACTTCCATTCTCACTTTTTTAGGCAGTGGAAACCTTGTAATACTATATCTTCGAAATTTCTCTTGTTGAATTGACCAAGCTTAACTGGGCTTGTTTGAGTGTGCCTTATAATATGTCTGTGCCGCTTATCATTAAGGGTGAAAGTTTTTTGGCAACTTTGATAGGGACATTCAAGCTTTTCAGACTTCTCGTGCCTCGTCTTGATGTGTCGGGGTAAGTCTTTGGACAAGTCAAAGCCTAGACTCTTACAAGAAGGCTCGTTACACTTTTGTGTCTATCCATTAAGAGGTTTCCTCATCTCTTTAGAGACTTAGACTATAACCTACTATAAATGTCCATGTATGGGTCTACATTAAGTCTAATGTATAGTCTTAAAGAATGAATACTTTGATTATTTCTGAAACCTATATATTAAGAAAGACATAAACATCAACCCTAATCACCTTAATTATATTCAAGCTTTCTACAAACTTTAGACCTGTATTACAAGTATTGCCCCCCCTAGCACACGAATCTTTATAGTAGTTTACTGTAAGAGTGGCATCGCTCTGTTGAAATTGCGACGATTAGAATAAGAGTGAGATTCCCCTATGTACCCACAAACATAATATTGAAGTTTATAGTTCGAAAGAGAAGTAAAATTTGAGATTAGGTATTTATAGTTGTTATTCTAGACCTGCCTCTTCTTTCTCTACAAATACAATACCACAATGCCACCTATAAATAAGTCAACCTTTGCTTATCAAAGAATTCTATTCATCAATCGTCAATCCCAAAAACTGCGACCTGTATAATCATCGCCAACCTGTATCTTCCCATCTCCGGTAACGCTATTGCCAATGACATCGCTTTCATTCGGGTTAGGTTTAGGTTCTTTCTCGCCCCTGTCTATCTTTCCTGTATCTCCGACAATGAATCCCGCAAACTCTCCCACACGATTATCAGCGACCTTGGCCCTGGTGCATACCGACGCGGATTGGGATTCTCAAGTTGTTCCTCAAGTAGAGGATCAACGGAGCGCTCTGCCGTGGCTCGATTCACAATTCTTAAACTCTTGCTATCGATTTTTGAAAGCTCGTCGAGTTCGATGTGCACAAGATTTCCAATGATTTTTGAGCAGGATATTATTTTCTCTAACGAGTCCAGAATGAGGACGATATCATTCAATAGCTTTTGCATGTCTTCTATAGTCTGCAAGGCCCATTTACATTTCTATATTATTATCAGTTTTCCTCTACCATTCTCCGGTTTCCCCTTTGCCTTTTGATACCACGCGACAAGATTACAAATCTTCTGACTTGTTTTACCTATCAACGTATAAATTTCATTTGAACTTAGAGTCTGAAATGACTTTTCACTAGCCCTTTAAAAAAATTCACAAGCTTTTTTAGAAAAAACTCGCTAACCCTTTATAAGAAATTCACTGTTTTTTAGAAGAAAGTCGCTAACCCTTTAAAAAGATTCACTAGCTTTTTGAAAGAAACTCATTAACCCTTTAAAAAAGATTCACTAGCTTTTAAGAAAACTCGCTAACCCTTTATAAGAAATTCACTAGCTTTTTAGAAGAAAGTCGCTAACCCTTTAAGAGAAATTCACTAGCTTTTTAGAAGAAACTCGCTAACCCTTTAAAAGAAATTTACTGAATTCTATAAAGCAGTCTGCACTTTGCTCGATTATCGCTTTTTATAGCAGACTCTTACTCTTTAATCGAAACTATAAAATAACTATAAAAGATCCAATTAAATCATATGTATTTTAGAATCGACCGTAGTATCTTTAGCAATCTAAATAAGCCTGAATATATCTATGTAGGTATACGTTAAAAAGGAATACTAGTAAAGTATCTTAAACAATAAGATTAGTAGTCTCTACTATAATTTGTAATTCGATATTTCTCGAAAGAATCAAGTAGGACTGACTGTTATTATTACAATTTTCCATGAGCAATAAACATCAATAATTAATTTTAATAAATAATATAAAAATATATTTATTATCCACAACATGAAGCAACATGAAGCACTCATTGCGATAGCCAGTCCGTATGTTCAATCGTATCAGCTACGATATTCTAATATGCGTTAATATTCCTTGCCTATCTTTTTCACACAAATGAGCACCTTGACAGGTGACAAGAAATGCAACTCACACGAAACATTTGGTCGCACACATGTACTTCCATATGATCATCGCTTCCTCATAAGGACCTCAAGCCTTGATGTGTATGAATGTTTGCTTTGCTCTCGTCACGATTTGGTGGTGTTGCAACACGTTGCGAAAGTGGCATGTCAAGCATATGTGATGTCGCTTGTGCATCCCCGCTTTGACTTTCTCGTGAAGATTCGGAACACGAGCGCTGCTTTTGAAAACGGACACTATCCGGCGCATCTCGCGCGGTGCTGCCGTTGGGGGTTTGCGGATAACAGGCTGCAACCACTCACCCCCGCTATTTGCAGTATTGTACATCGCATAATGATCTCAAAACACTTTACTAAATCGACTCGATCTGTATCGGTTTGTAATAATAGAATAGCTTGCGTTATTATAAGATAGAAATTGTGTAATTATATACAGATTACTAATTGAATATAATATTCCAAGTATATATGCTGTGTGTTCACAAATCAAACGTTGAAGATGTCGATCATTCGTATAGCTGTGAGGACGTTTGAAACACGAAATATGATCGGCATGCGCCTATTTTGAGGTAGGATCACACTGATAGACACAATATATATAGATTGAGGATATACGTAAGATCTTACAATATCGAAGACCTTCATGTATTCTACTTTCAGATCCGTCAAGAACTCTAGAATTACACTATGGAAATTCAGTCAAAAGCTTAGAATTATTTAAATAATCAGAAAATACTTTTCATAAAGCAGAAGCAAACAAGACTATCTAAGTATTCACGGGTCTTTGGGGTATGATTCATTATGTGAATCATACGATCGAATATTATGTGATTTCAAGTATTGAATATTAGAGTTATAGAAAAGATGAATGAAAAGGAGTGAGTATAGAAGCTTAGAGGAAAAGGAGAGTGAATAAGGAAGCTGAAAAAAGAGGGGAGTAAGTGTAGAAGCTAAAGGGCAAGAAAAGATATTAATCAAAAATTTAAAGAAGAAAGGGTTTCATATCTTGTTATTCACTTTCAATTTGTTCTTTAAGCAGAAGCTTTATTATTATATGTCACGGAATTCACCGTATGGTGTAACCCTACAGTACTAATCCTAGTACTCCTCCACTCCTCCGGAGTACTCATTCCTATGATTACTAAAACTATTTCATTCCTCTCATTTGTGTACCCTATATACCTAATTAGGCGATTCCCGCGCCCGATCAGGGTATATAAACCAGGTGTGATCCTTATGATCACACCTCAAGTCAATCTAGTTTATTATCACTCTATATACCTATCTCCTGATCAAAGTGACTGTTACGGGAGCTGCCTCTAGGGTCACGTGGAAGTGGCTAGAGATCTCTCGAGGTGGTTTAGACTAAACTTCAAGTAGGAATTCAATAAGGTTATAATTGGTTGCAATTCTCATAACTATAGTAATAAAACTAATGATTGTTCTTGAGTATAAAGCTCTACATTATAATGAAATCTATTTCCTTATATAGATCTTCGTCTTACTTGGATAGCTGGGATAGCGGTTGTTTCTAAAGCGCTGTCGTTTTTGAGCTGTTCATTATAGGATATTAATTCTATAACTTTTAGTATCCTAGCTTATTCTTTGTTCTAGGGCTAATCCCTTGAGATATTACTAATCCTAGTAAGCTTTTTTGCTTATTGTGTTTTGTTTTTCCTAGAACCTATTGTTCTAGAAACTATATTCTAGGTTTCTAGGGTATTCTATGACTAATACTATATACATGCCTGAGGCTTTCCTTGGGTGCCTAGTGTCCCCCGGTATACTGTAGCTGAATCACTAAGGCCTATAATACCATTATAGTCTATAAGTTGGTGATTCTACAGCCTGTTACTAATCCATTGTAACAGTGACCATTAGACCTAGCTATACCTCCGTGATATTATACTACTATAGTATAGAATATATCATTTAAATAAAAATATTAACTAATTCTAATTTATATAATATCAATTAATAATCGATTATTAATTGAATTCAATCTAAATAAAATTTTTATTTACAAATAATCTTAAACTAAAACTTTCGAAAATCAAAAAATTTACAAAAATTTAAAAATTTCGAAAATTTCGAAATTCTTTTGATATAAAATTTCTTATTATATATGTATATAAGACTAATTATATTAATATTTTATAATTTATTTTTTTAATATAATATTAAAGATTAAAAATTTTATTATATTTAATGAATGATGATTTCATTAATACGGATTCTACTATCACAGGGAGCGATTTCGTGAATGAACATGGGAAAGTGTTATCTTGGCTTTAATCGTATCTGGGGACCAGCGTGGTAATGATTCCCATCACCAACATTCATAATTGAATATCTTGTATAAGGGGTGTCTTGGTACAAATACTGCCAATCAATTCTTGTAATAAGAGATTTCTTGATGCTACTAACTCAAAGAAAACCAATAGATCCAAACTCAAACATTGAAGGCCACCAGCTCTTCCAACGTCATGTCTCGAATTGTGTACCAAAACCGACAAGATAATAATTTCTGCGGCCAGTTCTCTCAGCCCGCAGACAGTGCATTCTCCTCTCCCTGCTCATATTTTATATCTTGCAAATTGACGTGTATATCAATCTTCCAATCCACATTCATGCTTGCAGCCATTGAACCATTAGACGTTTCGGACACAGCCGAAGTAATCGGAAACACTGTCAAATTGGCTGCGGCCCTCCCAATGCCGGGTCTTTGAATCTCTTCACGAGAACCATCTCAGGAGTTTATTCGGTCTTTTTGTATCGAACATTTCATCGTGCATCTTCCCTCAATGGAGCTGCGAGACCTTGAGATTCATCCTTAGCACCAGAAGCATCATATGTTGAACCAGACGATTGTGTAGAACCTTCTACAAGTCTTGGAACAGACGAACCTTAGACATGCCAGAAATTGAAATAAAGAGAGAGTAATAGGCGTACCATTCGAGGCACTTGGGGAAGAATTCGATAACTTGTGGTTCTCCGGACTGCTGGTGAGAGTATCAGTGCCAAGCCGTATCAATTGGTATCGAGTAAGCATACCATCTGTCAGGAGTTCCGTTACCCTATTGGACACCAAGGACAGACTTTGTTGACACCGGTCATATTGTAGCAGGTTCGCAAAATCTTTAGGATGATTAAACAGTATTCAGAGGGGCACAGGTGAATTCGGAAACTCAAATGCTCTTACTAGATGATGATGCATTCTCCACAACTAGGGCAAAAACCACAATCTTATAAGCAGAAGATCTAGAGGCCTCCACTTCGGACGTCTTCTCAGGAGAATATACTATATACTGCCATTTACATTTAGTGGAAGCCTCAGCTATGTATCTGAAGCTTAGCATGAGTTGGCACATTTGCCCACTTACTACCCCCCCCCCCACCCCACCCCCCCCCAGCCCCTGAAAATAGGAAGGCAAGCTTGGACATATCGAAGAGGCCAACATTACGTGTAAGAATTCAATCAATGTAGAGCTTTAGTTTTAGCACAGACTCCTTCTCCCTTCATATAGGCAACTTCCTCATATTCCCCCTTTTCTTCTTTCATCCCCCGCCACCCACTACTCACCCACTGACTCGTCACTCGCTTACCCTCTGTGGCTGTTCATATCATTACGGCTTGTCTATTTCTCATGCCACATCACTTTTAGATGAGCAATGACCTGATGAACGTATCATACTAAGTTTCACAATATCACCGTACGGTTATCTAGATTTGATGATTACCAATTCTCATTCTTTGATCATAGATAGGAGATATGTACGCTCAAATTCATACAAGTAATTGTGGAAGCAGTGCTTAGCGTACGCTAGTTAACACCCATTTTGCTACCGTACCGCCAATTTACACCCATGATTACAAACAAGTGAGGTGGTAGCCTTCAGTTTGCGTATATAAGGCTAATTTGCAGTCTCACGAGAGTTCCCGAACAAAAAAACTGTTTCAGAAGCCCTAACTATAATCATTTTACCCCCCCCCCCCATCCCAACTAAGCGAGACGTTCGCCTTGATTATTGCTACCATACTGTCAATAGCTGCCTTGCGCGAATTTGAGAACATGTTTACGGTCTATTTTGCCCTAGATGGTTGGTAATACACCTTAACTTACGCTGCAAGAGAGCTTTCAGGGCCATTTCATTTGTGCTTAAAAGGGTAGTCTTTCCCACTGTTCTTGCTAAACCTTTTCATACAGAACAACTTACAACCATCTACCAAACAAGTTCTATCAAAAAACAAGAACCGATTCAGACATTCCAATAATACTCTCACATCTACCAATGCTCGATAGAGAAACATCCACGATTTGTCCATCATCTTCCAGTAGTAACAACATGAACAATCAACGAAATTTTGAACGCAGAAGAGATTCACGTTCCAGATCCCCTGGCAGAAATCAACAGGTTTCCTGCCGCTCCCGATCACCACTCAGAAATCATCGTGGAGCCATGACTAGAAGCTCGCGCCCAAAGACCGAATCCCGCCTCCTGAACCTACCAAAAGAGTTACGGGATATGATTGTCGAACATCTTTTTGACTCAACTCGTCTCACATTCGGACACAGACAAATCAGTTCTGAATACCGCAAGGTTTTGCCAGCACGCAACGCACTCGCTATCCTCCGCGTTTGCAAACAACTGTACCAAGAAACTAGCAACATTTGGATCAGTCGGGTCCTCTTCGACTTTGAGGATACTTTCCCACTTTTGGACAAGTTCTCCCTTCTACCATTCTCTACCATCAGCCAATCCGTAATGTTCGCATTCGCATGAAGGGTGATGAGCCTGAAGCCCCTGAGACCGTCGAGGGCGAAGAACAATTGTACGGACTACAGGTCTTGCAAGGACTGCAACTTGACAGACTCACAGTTGTACCAGGTTGGGGCGACTCATACACCGGTTGTGCAGACATCACTCGATTTATAACCACAAGTTTCCCTTGCAAGGAACTCTGCTACCACACTCCTACATCATGTTTCCATGAGAGCAATGAATCGACTTCGGTGGACGCAACAGATCTCGTCACTCGTCGCATCAACACTATGGCTGATCAAATCCTAGACAGAGGCCAATTCGGAACATCACTTACCATCCAAATTCTTCAGTCATCCGAGCCCAGCAGCCAGCGTACCGGCGCCGTCTTCAAAGATTCTGCAATTCAAGTTTTAGAAGAATCCTCGATTTCAAAAGATACCAATCCGGCTAAGATGATTGCATGTGGCAAGGCTTTGGATCCAAACGCTGAGACACTGGTCATCTTCAAGCCCGTCGCGACATCTTTCACTATTCCAGATGAAGCCCTTCAAGGACTCTTCAAGACCGTTGACGAAGTTCAAGTTAGGAAGACCTGGAGAGATGACTATAGGGATCATTATGTTCAGGAGGCTGAAGAAAACAAACCTGATATGGGAAATATCACCATTGGCGAACTCTATCCATGGCCTTTTGAAATGCGAAAGACTCATACCATCATTGATAGATATGATACACACAACAAATTTCGGAGAAAACTTTTTCTTCGAAATACAACTCTTTCGCGATCGATCTAGATCATAGCCATTAAACAAAATTAATTGCAACTGCCCCCAAGTGATTCTGACCAATAATTGTTGTGATACTGTCGTCAGCATTTTAAATACAAAACTCACACGAAAATTCGCATAAAATTTTCACTCCAAACCTCCAAAATAAGAATATAACTCCCAATATAGATTGTCTCAATAATCCATCAACACTTCGGGATATAGCTATAATAAAGGCTTCTTCTGAAGCCTCCATTATACCAAATACTTATCTCACTGTTGTTCTAAATACCCCAATACCTTCAAGCCCTCTCCCGCCTTCTGAAAACCCCCAATTCGAAATCTCTAGCCTTATTCTACTAACCAATCAGCCAACTGTTTCTGAAAAAAAGAGTTGAAGAGTTTAATCTATTTAGTGACTCTTTTATTATTCAAAACATAATCAATACTATTTATATATTCAATCAGAATAAAAAACGTAGCCCTATAATACCTCTTAGCAATCAAAACAAATAATTTATTTTTATTTATTTTATTTATAGTGATTAACGTCTAATATCTGACCTCCCAAGGGGTATTCTAGACGTACTAAGGAGCGAGCCTACGGGTCGCTAGCGTTCCAGCTGCTTATAGTAATATAATGTTAGTTAATTAGAGGTTTATTGTCTTTAATATTTTTCTGTTTAGTATTGCTTATGGCGATTCTGTAATTGTTTTGTTTAAAGGTTTGTGGTTCTATTTTAAAGGGCCTTATTTTGTATATTATTCGAATATTGGTAAATAATCAGATCGATCGCTATCAATCAGAAGAATACTCGAAATGCTTATAACTAATCGGTACGGGTTTTAGATTGATTAAGGTAAAGAGTTTATTCTCGGGGTATTAAAATAGATTGGAATTTGTATAGTTTTGTATAGTTTAAGTATATTCTAATATAAAATCTGAATCTAGTAAGAAGATCAATAAAGCTATATTGTATTCGCAGAATGCAGTTGATATATATTATCACATCCCATTCGAATCGAAGTTGATTTGATATAAGCAGCTAGTCGTTGCATATCTGATTATTGATTGAATATTGAAAGAAGTATAGTGAGCTTTTCTCAATCCTGTATGTATAGATATTTATACTATTTTCGTAATTGAATTTGATATAATAGACTACAAAGTCATTGTATCCGGTCTGTATTGTTATAAGTCTGTATAGTATCCCGCGAGGGAGCTTAAGGTTTCCTGGCTTCAAGGTATTATATACCGGTTTCCATATATTATACGTTTCGGAGATTAAGCCTCTTTTTTCCTTCCACTATCTGCTCTCGGAGTGCCGATATTTGGCATATAGAACAGAGCGGGAGCTGCTGACTGTGGGGAGGCAGGATGGGCTAGGGTCAAGCGGCCCAGCCGTGCCCTGATCAGCGAGGCGATCGGCTGCCTCGTTGCCCTCAATCTCAGTATGCCCAGGGGACCACTTGATTACAAAAAAAAAACAAATAATTTAGAATACAAAACAAACCAATTATATCAAAGAAAGCAATTCTAAAAGCAAGAGACCTTATATTACTAGCATTTACTTTTACTTAATTATATAACTGTGACGATCCTGTCATATTAGTGGATCGGCTAGGTCCTCACATAATCCACAATCCTGTATATTACCATTTCTTTCCGAAGAGCTCTTCTAACTCTTCACCTTAGTATTCTAAATAATACAATCGTCACATTATACTAAGGTCATATAAATTTTTTAAGCTTTTGATTGTTTTTGCAAAGCTTTCTATCGTTAGCCTGCTTGCTGAATGTTTACTGTTTTTTATGTCCGCTTTTTTGATACAATTATTTGTATGATTTCTGATCAAGATCTCTTTCTAATTCCGTTTTTGTAAACTTTATTTACTGATGAGCTAATATCTTATTATTATATTATTTAGAATCTTTTTGCTTTATTGATAATAAATCTAAAGATTCTGAATCTAGTATGTAAATTATAGGAACTAATTAATTCGAAGTATTAATATGCTTGTACAATCGATGCCGCAACAAAATAGCTTATTCAATTAATCTGTTAGGCTAATCTGTATTCCATTAATGTTTTCGCTGTTTTATCGGCATTACCAACAAAAAATGTATTTCAAGTGGATCTTCTCTCTTTCGTTCATTTTATCTTTTAACAATTTTCGAAACCTTTTTCTATTGATTTCGAAGCCTTTCTTGCAAAAGCGATAAAACTGCAAAATGTGTATTTTCGCAAAGCGATCGATGACATTACGAATTACATTATAGGTAATATTGGAACTAATATTGGAATTATAGATTAGATATTAATGGTAGTAGAGAATATAGATTATAATATAATTAGATTAGAAAACCATATTTAGAATACTATTAATATATTTGAGGACAAGCTTTTCAGAAGGGGGGGTAGTGTAACGATTCTGTTATATTAGTGGATCGGCTAGATCCTCACGTAATCCACAATCCTGTATATTACCATTTTCTTCCGAAGAGCTCTTTTAGTTCTTCACCTTAGTATTCTAAATGATGCAATCGTTACAATAACAAACAATCTAAGTTTCTAGACCTTCTTGAAATCTTCAGAGAATATATCGAAAAGAGAAAGCTTATTATAGTTTCTAATATTATCGTATCTCAAATCACTTATCTCGAATCAGTTATATGGAAAATCGAATTGCAAGCTAAAACACTAGCCAAAATCCAATCCCAATCATTATAATATCAATTAAATCTAATTATATAATTATAAAAAAAAGGAGAATGGAATCTAATCAGTAAAGGAAAAGCTATTAAGCCTATTCCAATAAAAAAGAAGATTGAAATCATTCAAAGATATTTAATCCTAATCAAATCAAAGATTATGAATATTATCTCCTTCTCGCCTATATCAATACAAAACTAAATAAACAAAACATTTCAGAAAATTGGAATCAAAGGCCTAATCATAACAGCAATAATCCTATTACTGAATAATAATATAATAATTGTCACGGATCGCACCCAATCGCAGCTGCGATCGCTCACGTGCGCGCTTGCGCACGTGCACGATCACGTGTACATAGCTAGTATATAGGAGCGCTCTACGAGCGCTTTGCTCCCGATTCTGTAGTTGTAGATTCTAAGGATAAATTGTACCCTGCTCTCGCAGTTCTTCTAAGGCAAAGTGTCACAATAATTACTACAAATACTCCTTTTATATTACAATTTCTATTAGAAAAAAAGATAATCTGAAATAATTTTATCAAATTCAAAAAGATTCAAAAAGATTAAGAATGGTATAAGATTATTATTTATAAAATACTTATAAAAGAATTCTCAGAACTAAAAGGAATGGATTTCATTCTCAAAGAAATCAAAACCTTCAATTCGGATTTTAAGCTTATTGTCACGGTGTGAGCTCACATGATATGCTGGTCCTATCGGAGAGAATCGAAAGGAGTGCTCGTATTGGAGTGCAAGCGAGTTAGAGCCCGATCGGACTAGCTCGTTGTGAAAATTCCATATATCTTTAACTCAAAAGATTCTATATTATAGCTTTTTGAATTATATTTTAATTCTCAATCTGAACTTATTACTTGAATTAATATAACTTTGCCAGATTAAAACAAAGTTATTAAAACTCTATCCCACCTGCCTACCCTGTAATATTATATAACTTTTATTTATTAAAATATCACTTTTATAATAACTACTCCGCACTTATCTAGCCAGCCTAAAGACTTTTCAGAATTTAGTGTTTCTATATCAAAGAACCCCCAGATTTAATATTAATATCTTCAATCAGTATTTGTATATTATATCAAATTGAAAGAAATTAATAGATCGCTTGAATACAAAATTTCCGAATTTCTAGTTTGCAAACGTATTCAAGCTACTTTATACAAACAGATTGCTATTTAAAATGCCTGTTTACTCGATCACCTTGTTGAATCTATACTTACTATATTTACTTGTTTGGAAACCATATCCCTCGAAACTTCTGCTGACTCTATCCCCGAATTTACTATACCTACTCCAACCACTTGATTAAATAAATACATCCCCAATCCAAAAGAATTTAATAACACCCATTTCAACCTATATAGATTTATTCAATAGATATATAGAAAATTGAATACAAATAATAATAGATTCCCGATAACTTCTACCTACTTGATTTATACTACTGGAAGATTTACTAAAAAGATATACAAGCTTATATTATCTAAGATCTCCTATGGGATTTCTCAGTTCACCAACTATACCACATTCCTCGAATATTTCGAAAACGTTTTTAGAAATCCTGATTGAATACAAAATATACAGAATAAACTATATATATTAAAACAAAAATATTTCGATTTTAGTACCTTCTTTAATAGAATTTCAAAGATTCGCCTTAAAAGGAGAGATACCTAATAATACTCTAACCCCACTCCTATTTTAAGGAATCTCTTGCAAACTATAAAACATATTATTATATAATTCCATTCCGACCTATAAATTTCGTTAATATACTAATTATCTATAACAATTTGATAATCGATTCTATTAACATTAATAATAAATTCACTATATTTGTTCTATCGTTTTCGAAACTTCACCCCAGAGAATAATCATTACTCCATTTCTATAACTTGTTAGCCCGAAATCTACTCCTAAAGATCTAATAAATCTAAATTTAGGAAAAAAAGAATATACTACTAGGAATCTAGGTTTATAGCAGGAATACAACGAATATTATTACTATAACTCTATTAGCCATCTGATATGAGACTATTTGTGTGACGATCCTGTCATATTAGTGGATCGGCTAGGTCCTCACGTGATTCATAATCCTGTATATTACCATTTCCTTCCGAAGAGCTCTTCTAGCTCTTCACCTTAGTATTCTAAATGATGCAATCGTTACATTATACTAAGGTTATATAAATTTTTTAAGTTCTTGATTGCTTCTGCGAAGCTTTCTATCGCTAGCCCACTCGTCGAATGCCTACTGCTTTCCACGCCCGCTCCTCCGATACGACCATTCGTA